ATTATGGTCTGTTTTTGTCACATGAGCTGTGAATGTTGAAGAGAGCACTTCCATTTGAGCTAAAGAATCCCAACAGACAAAATACTTGAAATGTATAAATTTCTTTAAAAAAATTTCATTTTATTTTGTTATAATTATCACACAAAATTTTGCAATTTTTGCATGAAGTATTGTCCAGGATTGTAGGATTTTTCTGCTTTGATGACAAAATCTAAAAGTTAAAAACAACATAAGTCTCAGTTCCAGGTTATAATTTTATCAAGAAATATATGCAGCTGTGAAAAAACAAGAACTCTTCTTATTCATAATATCAATATCATATAAATACAATCAAATATATTTATTACTGCTTTATTAATAATAAACTTATGTTGTCTCATCTTTAGTGTTTTTATTGTTAATTTTTAAATAGTTTATCTTTCATTCTATTTTGATAGATATTTTATTGTAATACTCAGGTCATTTTTACATCCTCTGACCATTAAGTAAGCAGCATTGATTGCGAGTAAAGAAAAGACCTCTATCAAGATTTGAACTTGCATCTCATATTATTGGGAACTAGTACTTTACAAATTAGGAAATAAAAAGCAACAAAAATGAGATTAAACATAGACTCATCAAAAATGAATGATAAAAACAAATCTTATTTTAAAAATTAACACAAAACCAAAAACTTTTATATATTTTATTCAGGAAAAACTAAAAAAAAAAAAGAAAGAAAAAATTAACAATATGAAGAAGTTCTGATAAAACAAATGAAATAGAGACAAAAGAAATACTAACTAAAAAATTAAGAATTGACAATGCTTCAGCTAACAATAAATTCAAATTATTTGTTAAGAAACATTAAAAGTAGCCACAAATTTCTTGTTCAGAGAAAATAAAGAAGGGAAGCTTTATGGTATCAACTTATGTTTTTTTATTTTTAACTTACATTCCTGTAATGTAAATTAAAAATTTCACCAGGAGTTTATTCTTTATTTCTGATCTGTGCTATTTGTTGACCACTATAAAATGACAATCTGAGAAGTTGTAATAAAAAGCAACTGAAATCAAAAAGAAATTCTGATTAAAAAAAAAAATTAAGAATTACCATGAAACCTTTTTTATGATGTTATAAAAAAATTTATTCATAAGACTTTCCACCACTTCTGTATCAGAAACAGGTTTTAACATTTGCTAGACAAAGCAAGTTGCTTAGTTGGTGGTTGGATTGAGATCCCAAAGCAATATTTCTTTGTCAATTTGACTGATACAGTTTACAAAGTTTTTCCTTTCAAAGGAAAAACACTTATCACTAATATTCAAATGATGTAGATGCATTGACAGAAACAGATGAATATGCATTCTACCAACATCTAACAATTCAACCAGTTTTGAAAGTCCTTAAAACCTAGTAGTCTTCCTTACCATTAATACAGCATTTGTGTATATGACAATGATTCCCTTCAATGAAATAATTTTAAACAAGATTAGGTTCACTGTCTACTTTGATTGATATTTTGTGTTGAAATATAGAGGAAAGTTTCAGAAAGAAAAATCTTTTTTTTCTTCCTGCTTATTTTTTCAAAGATAAATTATGGATCTAACAAGAAACGTCCACATAACACAACTTTTGGGGAAAAGGCAAGTTGTTCAAGCACATGTTTTGAATAACTGAGCATAACATTCAAAGAACATTTTGAGAATAACTATTTCTTGTGATTACATCATCAGCCATCTGGCTTTAAACAGTTCTTTGCTTTAAAATATTTTTTCTTATTATCTGGTTTTAAATAAAACGACATCAACCAGTTGGAAATATTTTCTGGTAAACTTTAATGCCTTCCTAAAAGAGTGAAATGTTCAGTTTTGAATTTTATATGATTTTTTTTTCTGTGTAAAATTGTTATTTTTATATCTGCTATTTCAATATTAATGGTAAATAAGAATCATCAGTAGTTGAGTAGATTCTCATTGTATGGACCATGAACATTTTGCAAAGAATAGAACAATAAAAATATGTCTATTCTCCTACGACCTTGTCAAGACAGTGAATTTAGACATTTGAAGTATAAACATAGTATAAGGGTTAGACAGCTGGGTGATGGATGACAAGATCTTGGAGAACATATGGCCTGTATCCAAAATTCACATAATTCATAACCCAGATAACAAAAGTAAATCTTTCTTCCAGGATTATTTCACGAGAGATAACATCTAAATTTATGATGTAACCCAGGAAGCCAAATTTGCATGTAATTACAACTTGCCAAGTACCAACTAGAGTTAAACATTGGATTACTGTTGTTTAGAAGACTAGAATGAAGACACATTGTGAATCAACAACAACTATAGAGACAGTTATAGTTATCCAGGTCACAGGCAAGCAGAAGAACAGTATAATTGACAACAGCAAGCTCCAAGGAGCTGTTAAAGAAGTATTATCAGCTGAAAAAAGTGGATCCGCAAGGAGGTATGCAAAGTCATTAAGAGGAAAATGAAAGTTAACATTAACCAATACACTGAAAGTCTGCTAATCAAAGCTCAATAAAGCAACAAGAGCCTAAAAGGAACAATGAAAAATAGCTCTTGCAAAGGAACAACTGATCCCAGTTAAAGGATAGTGAAAATATTGTCCAGGATTATAAGATTGAAAATGATAAATCACCACAGTAGTTCCATCTTGCTATCCATAAGCAACAACCCCACCACTGTCATCACAAATCTTGAAGTCTGAAGTAGAATTTACAATCTACAAGCTAAAAAAGGACAAAGCCCCAGGTGAAGAAAACATTGGCAGCAGATTACTGAAAAATAAAAATCTGATTGATGTACTGATTGATCTCTTCAATAGTTGTCTTTTCTCAAGTCTTACTGAACAAAATGGTCCAGACTACAGACTTTTGCCAACTAAGACAGCAAACAAGCTTCAGGTTAGGATTTTCCACTCTGGACCACCTGCAAGTCATCAATCAGTTACAGTGCAAGCACAAGAATGTACAATGCATTGATGCTTTACTTACTTGAATTATGAAAAGGCTTTTGAGTCGATAGAGTTCAAGCCAATCTTTTTTTTGTACCTTGAGGTTGAAAAGGTCTGTTCAAAAACCTCAACAATCAACCAACCTGTACTCTACATCTGTATAAGGACAGGAAAAGATGAAATATATGCTAGACATGGAGAGCTCACCTCCCCAGACTATTTACAACATTCCTAGAACACTCCATCATTAGAAAGGATACTCAGGGACGTCCACACAATGAGTAGATCAACTTGGAAGATCTAACAAATTCAGGAGTCAGTGAAAATTCCACTGAGGAAATTGAAAATTACAACTGCTCATGTCAACTAATAAAGAAAGATCATCATGCCAGAGGTTCAGAGACATGTCAAACAATGTCATATGGAACCAATGAGGAAAATATTGAATGAATTTATCATACCAGTTACGAGACTTGGACAATTAATAAAAGTAAAGTAAAAATACTTGCCATAACCCATAGAAAGATGAAACATATAATGTTCTATCTCAAAGATAGAATGTACAACAGCAGGATAAAGCATCAGATGAGAGTCTTTGATATAGCTCTACCCATCTGGCTTGTGAAACACAGATGGGCAGAACATCTAGCCTATCAATAAAAGAGCATATAGACTATCAGAGTCACCAAATGGTCATCAAAAGAGAAGGCCAGAACATGGCTGACTGAAGACAATGTGAATTGATAAGCTAGTGTACAACATAGGTCCTTTGGAATTGAGAAAAGGTCTAATGATAGTGATAATAAACATCTGAGTATAAAAACTAATCATGTTGAAAATTGTAGGGATGAGTAGCAAAAAGGTATAAAATGACCCTGAGAGCATAATGAACATTCAACACTGTTAGCAAACCATTAAAAGTGTCAGAAAATAGTTTTTACTGAGATGGATTTTTGCTGCTGATACCCTTGGTCAGAAATATTCCAAGCATTTTGTGTATTATGAAATGAAAAAGATAAAACTCATCTACCCGGAATAAGGACTTGGACATTACAATTTCTATTTCGACATGCCCTAAACTTAGTTGAATTGTAAAATAGCTTCCTCAGACTAACAGCTTATGAACCTCTGGTCTGAGGAACATAGGAAGCAGGTTGAATGAACAGAATTTCAGCAAATTGGTCAAAAAACCAGCAGGTTACATGAACAGAATCCACAGCAAAGTGATACAAGCTGTCTTTGCATGAATTCCGCCGATAAATGGACCTAGGATCCTCTGCTAAAATGTCTGAAATTGCTTGATACACTTCATTTTTATTTTGTAAATACTGTAATCTGAAAGCAGGATTGTCTGAATCTTCAGTAAAGTTCAACAGTTGCTCCTTGGCTCGTAAAGTGAATATTACAGTCAATTTGGAAATTGGAGCATGTGTAACCCAAGATGTTGTTATTGTTGGCTTTGTAACTTGATTACAACTAGCTTGAATATCCAAATGATTAGCTGGATTCACCCAACACTCACAAGCAGAATCATCCCTTTCGGATATAAAGCACTCATCTATGTTATGGCATTCTGGAAGCTTAGAGGAATCTGAATCCTTAGAAACAGAAGCATGTGGTTGACAACTGTGCTTTCCAACAGAACATGTATCCTCTTTGTAACTTTCCTTATAACATTGTTTATCTGAATGTGTCATTTTTGCACTAACATTAGTTGTGAGAATCGATAAATGACCAGTTGATGTTGGCAAGGGTAAATAGTGTTCAGTTGTAGTTTCAGAATCTGATCTCAAGGATTGATTTTCATTTTGTACTACTTTTGCAAAAATTGACATTTGATCAGTCTTTTTCAATTGGTTCACACTTGCGTGGAGCTGATCTGTTCCAAGCAGATGATCGGCATTTTTTTCTAGCTGTGATGATGAAAAAACTTGATCAACTTTTACTTGCTTATCAAATTTTGTTTCAACTTGTGAGAATGAGGATACCTGATCAGTTTTTAGAAATTGATCCACACTTGTTACTACATCCTCACTTGATGAATTATCAACATTGCAGCTTGACTGAAAAATCATTGAATTACAAGCAGGATCATCATATTGTGGAATAAATGGTTTCACATCCAAAACAGGAGTGCCATCGAGCAGATCAATTCCAGAAAAATGAATTTCAGCACCTGAAATTAAGAATACAAGAAAAAACATATCTACAGTTTGCACAATTATTTGATAATTAAATGGTTTATTGAGGTTTGAGCAAAAAGTGGACATTAGAATCTTAATGCAGTCTTTTATATCTAGGTTAAAATCAATTTAGCCTCAGTGCTACAATGTTAATAATGTAAGTCTTCATTCATTTCTCACTTTTTAAAAGTGCCAAATAGTAGTATAATCTTGATGATCATTAGAAAATCTGGGTTTTATGTAAGTACTTTTAACATTTTAAGAAAATAACTCTTTCCTTCCATAATAAACTAATTGTACACTAAGAAATGAGAAGGGAGAGGATGACACTGGAAATGTGTAAAGCAACTGACATCAAAGACTTGTCAGTGGAGATTCAATGTAATTTATAGAACAATTGATTGACTCAGATTATTTAATTCTATTACATAGCTTCTGTACTTGAAATTATTCCCTTGTTGAATTATACTTGCTAAAATAGTGTCACCAAGCAACTTCAACCCTAATACAAAAATTGTGATTCTTGGTGACTTCAAACTAAAATTGGAAAAAACTTTCATCAAATCTATTTGTTATATTGACAAATTTACTCAACAAGATATTCAATAAAATATATATATATATATATATATATATATATATATATATATATATACACACATTCAATGGATATTAATATATTTGAACCTTCCATAAAATTATCATCATTATACATGAAAGTTATATAATAATTTTACTTTTTAACAAAATAGGCCATTTTTCTGAAAGGTCTTTTCTGCAAGATAAAAAGAAAAAAAAAACACCATGACACAATTGTGCTTATACAATTGCATGGTAAATGGGAGACAGTTTGGTTTGTAACATTTAAATTAAGCATACTGTTAAAGATATGTCAGTTAATGAAGATATATAAAGATATTATATTTCAAATAGAGTAAATGAAAGAGATAAGAAAAATAATCCAAAATAAAAATAAACTTTTTTTAAATTTGAGTTAAGTAAGCATATGAGATTTAAACAATCTTCATGAAAAATTAATAATTTCTAATTTTTAACAAACATTTGAACAAGAATCAAAAGAATGTTGTAAATAACGAAAGCCTTTATCCACTGTGATGATCTGAATATCTAGTGGTGCTTTTCTAAGTGTAGCTTAGATGCGGCACAAGGCCGAAAGTATGAAGCACACAGTGAGGATCAAACTCACTATTCAGTCATAAGTGTTCTAGTGAGACCAACATTACACCACATCGAAGTGCCCCTGAATATCTTATGTATATATTATGCTTTTACTTTAATCGTCTCCCTTGTGGAGATGTTTCGTTCTATAAAACTCTGTAAATGTATCCTATCATTTTACAAAACTGACAAATATAAAATTAGGCTTTTTGATAAGTTTCTAAAAATCTTTTTTTAAATATTGGTTTACTTGTGCAGACAGTTCAAAATGAGACAGCACTGAAGAGCAATATTAAAAGCAAACATAAGAATTCACCAGAGATTCTTTCAATTTTGGCTAAAGTCAAGCCAATTGGGTTTGGTCTGTAAGGTGCTCTAGTGGCAAACACCCCAATTCGTTTCCCATTGAGTCTTGGAGGACGCACCTTAGCCTTCACACATACATTGTTGTTCTTATGAAATATGAAGATGATCCTGAAAAGAAAAGTACAACGTGCATATAAGGTAATCTCAAAGATTAAGAAATAAATGAACAGAAAGTAATTGTGGCAAAATATTTGTTGGTTAAGTGAGAAATAATTTATGTTTATATTACTGTGGATGTAATTTTCTTTACAAAACTTACATTTCCTCCTGTTGTCATATATGTTTTCAAGATTCCCTAACATTTGTTGTTAACTGGCACTTAGTGCTATTTCCAAACCGCTGTAGATATATAGTATCATACAATATGATCTGTTTCGTGAGATTTTTATTATATGTTAGTTGTCTTGCTTAGCTTTGCCTGTACTATAGAATATCCAACTGAAACCAAAATGTCAGCACCCATGACAAATTGCCATCAGCATGTTTATAATCCTTTATTACCAGTAAATGCCAATTTCTTATTTTTCCTACAATGGGCCAGTACAGACAGGCAACAATGCTTTAATAATGCAGCAGTGAAAGTGTTAAAGATGAGGATTTTAAGAGAATTTCACTTCTAATAAGACAATACATATTTGTTTCTTTATAAATCTGTAATGTAACCGATTCAAATATGTTTATTAGAAAATTAGTTTTATTGGTAGAGAATTTCACAGATGGCTGGCTCACTAAATAAACTGTTTTATTTTTCTAGTCAGTGTTTGAAATGTAAAAAAAAAAAAAAAAAGATTAAAAAAAAACATTGTAATAAACACTTGAAATCAGATTAACAAACCTCTTTAATTTAGTTCATGTGACCAGAACGTGTACTAAAATTATTGCTTTGTTTAGTAAGATTACTTATACCTACCAAAATAAAAATGTCTATGGCATAATAAACATAATATTTACTCTTTTTTTTTTTTTTTTAAACAGAGCCATTAAATCAGTTTCTGTGAATATATTTCCTAGATTATCATAGAAGGGGACATGTGCAAGTAGTAGTTTTTGTAGTGTTAAGTTTGATTTTAAGAGGCAGGAGAGTGGGATGGTTATAAATATTTTGTATAATGATGTCCATGGTATCAATAATAGGAACATTGGTAAATACATATGAGCTACTTCCTAAAATTTGATAAAAAAAAAACTTTTTTTTTAATCTCTTCTTGGTTAGATCAAGAACTTTTCAACACCACTTCACTTTATATATATATATATATATATATATATATATATATATATATATATATATATATATAAGTAACCATAGTAACAAAAACAGTTTACACTTTAAGATGAAATATGAAAATTTAAGACAACATTGATTTTAAGTCTTTACCAGGCATGAGAAAATTCTTCTAGCCCCTCCAGAGAATGTTCTGGATTATTAAAAACAGACTTGTTAATAGTAAGGATGCCACGTGCAGTTGAACAGACACCAGCTTGTCGGGGAGTGCCATTCTTGAACTTGAACACTGACTTCAGGTGACCTATCGGGTCCATTTGATCAGCCCCAGAAGAAAAAATATCTTGCTTAAATCTGAAATGAAAAAAATTAAATCATTAAAATAGTAAAATTTCAATCTTTATTGGTTTCTTTCATTTTGGTTAAGTCTCTTGTTGAAATTAAAAATCTTTTTCTTTTAAGTTTAACATTTAAATAATGATCATGTTGTGTTGAATCATTTCCTCATGAGAAATAACTTTTAAATCATTTATAGTAATTTAACAATGTAATTTTACAATTTACTGTTCTTATAACAAATGTCTAATGTAGATATTTCCACAAAAAGATGCTTTGAATAAGTGATGTCAAAAAAAATTCAAAAAGATTTACTCAGTTGAAAATTTATTGTTTTGCTCAAACAATTGTATAAATGAAAACAATATTAAAGCAAATAGAGAAATTATCTTATCAGAATTTATTTAAAAAAAAGAAAGAAAGTATAACACACGTCAATGTTTATGAAATGAATATAAAACTATCCAAAACATAAATAATCAACCAAAAACTAAATTTGCTTAGACACCTCAGTTACAATATAAACCTTTAATAATTAAGGTATACATTAACATTATCTTTGATTTTAACCACAAAGTTTATTTTGTGGTAAAAGTTTACTCCCAAATGCTTTATAAATTTCATAATTTGAAATATTTTTTAGCATTTCCCATGCACAAAAAGCTTGTTTTATTGATGTTAAAACTATATATATATATATATTATATAATTTTCTTGGTGTAACCTAATTAACTGATCAGTCTACATTTAACATATAGTATTTCTGTCAAATACAAATCTCAATACAAACATACAAACTTTTGAAAGGCCATCATAACAATATAATGCAAATATTGAAAAGATATAATATGTTCAATAGCAGAAAAAATATGTACAAATATACAACAGTTTTGAAATGCCAGAGGATCAGTTTTGTAATAAACACATAACCTTGTGAATACAAATGAAATCTTGACCATAAACAATGGCTTTAATCAACTTGAAATAAGAATCAAGCAATAGCAACAATTAGGGCTTGTAATTTTATATCTGCAGACATATTATATTTGAGACTACCTATGCAATAAACACATTCACTCTAGCCAATTAATTTCAATAGCTATAGTGTTGAGGAGTCCAACTTTTTTGTTGGGAACAAAGTAGCAGTAATTCATTGAAGCTTGACCTGTTTGAAAGTTGTCCAAGTACAGGACATAAGTTTACAGGAGTGGATGGTGATGAATTAACAATGGTGTGTAATGTTATGTTGTGCAATCTAGTAACCTAATTTTGTAGTAAAATAATTTTATTAAGTGTTAACCTGTCAAAATAAAATGCCACAAAGAAATGTGAAATTTTTAGTAAGAGATTTTTAGATTCAGTTATTGTAAAAAAAGAAAACAAAAAACAAACTGTTATTGAAGGATTATTATTTGATATTTCAGATTATTATAAAATTTTACCAGAATGTAGAGATAATTTGATGAACTCTGATTTAAATAAAAATTGTCAATTGAGAAAGAACAGAAAAGAGAATAGGAGATTACAAGAGCAATAGAATTTTGATCAGAGGTGTTTCACTAAAAATGAGACTTTTCAAAGATATAGGAAGAAATAGTCTGCTTTTCCTAGTAGAAGCAGTAGGCAATCATATATTTCATTCTGAGTAATGACAACTAAACCACATTAAATTGAAATGCAATAATCTACTGTGTTTTACTTTTTAATTTTGTCTACTTCTCCACAAAACAATTTGAAGAATTTTGTCTATAATAAAACAATGATGGTCACTGCTCAAAGACCTCTCAGTATTTCCACAAAAAAAACAATAACCTCATTGTATTTGATATTCAATCCACTAAACAGAGTAAGAGATTATCAATAGCAGAACCTCTAAAAGGCATAATAACACAATATACATCTCAATTTGAAGTGACTAGAAGAAGCCCAATGCTGCAACATTACAACTGTTTTGTTCATCAATGTGGTTATTTTCAGTTACTGGAAATGTAAATTCTTTAGAAGTTTCTTTAGTTGTTGACTCTTCTCCCCAACTCACTTCATTTACTGATATATCATTCAATCAGGACACTGCCTTGTAGATGCTAAGGGATTGACATAGTGGAGACAGCAAAAGGTGCTTCTGCACATCATGGAATAAGACATTCATATCTCTGCCGGAATGGATATAAGTAGGTGCTCTATATAAGGAAAGATCTGTTTCAAACACTGAATACTAATCTTTGGTTAAGTATATCCTGATGTGAAATCACAAATGGGATTTGTGACGACTCATCTATTGCTACAAACAGGTATTTCTGATGTGCCCTTCATGATAATAAACAACTTAAAATCAATATTTAAGCATCCCAGAACTCAAGTAGATTTAATAAGACAATGAAGCAAACTGATTTCAGTTCAGAACTGTTGTAGTAAAGAAAAGACTGTCGACTGATAGTAGCAACTGCAATAGATTTCTTCTGTTTCTCGGCTGCAACACTTGTAGCCAAATCACAGTTCAAACGATAGTCCGATGTAACAGTCCAACACACAACGTAGAAATGACAAAATGGGGTCACACATCCAACCTTCACTTCTCACCAACAACATGTGTTCGTTCAACCAAGCTCAAAAAAATCATCTACGTTTATAAGCGAAAAACAACTTCTGTTCACCGAGAGAATTTTCGGATTGGTCACGCCATTCAGGGGAGGGAAGAACATTAGCATAGTGTCTAGTCATTGATGTAGATTTTTGCTAACTACTTTTTAGTAATTTTTCTTCAGCAGATCGCACACAAAACATGAACTTTTTTTCGGGGTAACTGATTATCTCTTTCACTACACTCCCCCCTGTCACATAAGTGACACTCATGGGCGGGCCTCTTTATTCTTAAGCTTCTCTGGAGTGGGGCGACTGTTGGAGGAGATTGCGTGTTATGTTCTGAGGATTCTTCTGATCTGACAACCTCATGCACAGAGTCTTTGTCATCTGAAGAATGTTCTGAAGATTCTTCTTCTGAGGATTCTTCTGGTCTAACAACCTCACGCACAGAGTCTTTGCCATCTGAAGAGGTGCTAGCCCTACCTCCGATGGTAATTATTCGTTCACTTTCTGAGCACTCACTGCTAGTGTCACTTGTTGATACTGAGTTTGATGTTTCCAACTCCCCGGCTTCTGAGAGCCTTTCCATAGGCTGTTAGTATGTCCATCTTTTGTCTGCACAAATCGACAAATCGAACCGTTCATGAGTGACCGAGAGCAGCCCAAATCTATTAAAGCGGTATGCGTTATTCCATTGATGCGCACCTTAATCACAGGGAGCGCCTCTTTCATACTCGGTGCGGGGAAGAGATCGGCACTGACGTCACATCCCCCCATTCCATTTCCCAGACACTTAGAGGCAATATGACTTACTTTATGATATTGGAGGCATCGTAGATTGAGACGTGCCTTTCGCTCCAACCCACTGCACATTTCTTCACGTTGATAGCGGCAGTCTCTGGCAAAATGATTCGGCCCAGAGCACCGATAGCAGGTGACATCACCATGGTGACGAATGGCTGGGGTCGGACCCTCTTTGACTTCAATTGGTTGAACGACTGCGGCCACTGGTAATAACACGCTGTCTACGGCCAACACACTGACTGTGATGGGGTCACCGTTGTTGATAGGTTTTGATCTGCTCCTTGGGATGGACATTATTAAGAAGCTGTGCGGCGTACGCATTACGGAGGCAGGCGAAGTCAAGTTTTCTGATCCGCCCATCTGTGTTACTTTGAAGATCAATGAGCCCGACTTTAACACAGAGTTCGACCAAAGGACGAAGACATGGACAGAATTTTGGAAATGGTCGGAAAATAACCCACCAGAAAAGCTCCAGAACCGAGTGTCAGAGTATTCGGTGCCCGAACGCATCAAGGAAGAATACCAGCGCGAATTGCAGGTGTGGCTGGACAATGGATGGCTGACTCCGTATCCCGAGGAAGAGCTTGGTTCTCCAAGAGGCCTCATCCCGTTGATGGCCATGGTACAGAAGAACAAGGGAAAGGTGCACCCTGTACTAGATTATAGAGAAACAGAAGAAATCTATTGCAGTTGCTACTATCAGTCGACAGTCTTTTCTTTACTACAACAAGCTATTTTGGCATTTACTTTGTCTCTAGCAAGTCAATAAAGCTACTAAAACACAAGGGGGTTACAGGGTGTAGAAGAATTAGGGAAAGAAACATTAATAATAAACAGGAAGAGAAGAGAATAATCATGAGGAGAGTAGATAACGACTGACATTGCATTTAAATTTTTGCACATTAAAGTTGTCGAGAAAGCATGGAGTTGGAAGGGAGTTCCACAAATGAGAAGTGCAAGAGAAGAAACTGTTAGCATAGAATTTACGGCTACATCTAGCCAGCTCAACTGTAAATTGATGAGATCTTGACACTAGTCAAGTACTGCACTTAAATTGAAAATCTCTAGGTATCATAGCAAAGAACTCATCCGAACAATTACCATGAAAGTATTTATAGAAAAGGCATAGAGAAGCAACCTTACAGCGGTGGGAAAGTGACTGAAGCTGAGCCACCAGGTCAGGACAAATAATATTGCAGATTCTTCTTTGGATCTTATCAAGAAGCTCAAGGTAAATAGAAAGGGAAACAGACCATATTCTAAGCATGGACAAATGGTAGACTTACAGATATATAAAATTCTGGAGAGAAAAATTGTCTTGCCCAACACAATGAACTTTCTTAGCAGCTGACCTAGCAGTAGATTTAATATAGTCTTTCCACTTCAAGTCAGCTGAGAATGTTAGCCCAAAAAGATGCAACAAATCACTTTCCTGGAGATAGGCAGAAAGGGGTCTCTCACATGATTAATAAAGGTTAGTTTTGGAGGCGTTAGAATTAACAAGCCATCTTTTGCCAAGTTCCAAAAAGTTACCACAGTTAAAATAGAAAACTTCACCTAAATCAATGTTGTACTCCTCCTGACCTTATAGAACTACATTTTGTCAGAGAGTGAGCAAAATTTCAATAATAATTTTCAAGTCCTCTCAGTTGCTGTCACTTACTGCATGCATGCTTTGCATTTATTTGATAGTTTATTTCATAAGCACCTGATGACAAACACTTTTATATGCTTTGAGTTAATTTGCTTTTTTTTTTTTTCTAATTTTCAAAAGTGTTATGCATAAATACTTTATAATACAAAGCTTAACATTTGTCAATATCATAAGCCAAAGATAAAGTTTAAACCATTCATTCTTAAAATCTCTCAAACTAGATTCCTAACTACATTTCTTTGGTTGTTATGCCAAAATTGTCTTGCACAGTCTGTGGAAATTTATTGGTCACATTCAATTCAGTGTCATTTCTTTCACTTGAAAAATCAAACTTGGAGGAAGTAGTTTCTGTAGAAACTGAAGTTTTTTCTGCAATATCATCATTATCATGCTTCTTTTTCTTTATCTGAAGAATTTAATGCTGGATTTTTTGTTTTGTTTCATTTTTTATCAATGCATTTGATGTCAATTGGGATTTTTTGAACATAGGTGTAAAAAGTCACACTCTAACCAGCATAAACAATACTAAAGTGTTGTTTTTTTTGTGTAATCAGAATCTAATTACTTGCTGCATTTTGTACATTTGATGCATTGGTAATAAAATAATTTGTTTTTTTTCTATGATGAGATTTGGTGTACAGAAGATCTTTCTTTAATATGAACAATATACAAAAAATTGAGAGCTGAAAAACTTGTAGAAACTGAAACTAACACTTCCAATTCCACTAAAAATTCAAACAATTTCATCTTCATTAAAAAAGGTGGATCAAAAACCTAACTGAAATATTGCAGGCATTGTCAAATTCATCAAAATATTTCAACAACTCAGATTACAAAACACTAACAGCCTTCAAATGGCTAATATGGTTCCAAAAGTGAAGACACCACTAATTGTTTTTAACTATCGACTATCCATTTATTCTTTTTTTTAAAGAAATATTTTTAACAAAAAACTGTTTATGCAGATACTAATGATGCAAGAAGCACAGTTTCAAATTAAACATTTATAAATAAAAAAAGGTAAGTAGGCTTAAGTTTTTAAAAAAAGACAGGGATCGACTTTTAATTTTAACCCTCCCTTTTAAGATGATAAAAAAAAAAAAAAAAAAAATCTGTTTCTGACAAAAAAATGTCATGCATTGAGGAAAGTCTAAAAATAAAAATAATGAATACTGTAACTAAATGTAAAAGATTTTTTCCCGTGAGGAAATAGAAGAGAGAGAACGTCTCTTAAAGTCCCTTCTGACCAGTAGGTGGCTCAAACCAATTTTAAATTTACTCGAATGGAAGTCACCCCTTTTGACTGGGGGGGAAAAAAATATAAGGGGAATTTATATTTTAATTTGAAAAAAAAAAAAAAATGGTTCACCGATAGCCTGTCATGACCGTTATTTTTGGCCGTCCTTTTTTTTAGAACCATAACAACAAAAAACTTTTACACACAAGAATTTTTCAGTTTGACTTTCAAAACAAATCTAGTAGACTATTTATTTTTTTTTATAAATCTAAATATCATTTCAAAAAAAACATTTTCCTAATTTCTTTCGAGTGGTCAGGTTACCTAAGTAGTGCCTCTAAAATCTCTAAATCAAATAATTTATCTAAAATTAGGAATTATTTATGAAAAGAGAAAATCAAACAGAATTCTTTTGGTTAAACCGTTAAATAAATGAATTAAAAAATTAAATTGGTATCTTGCATTTTTACCGTTCGAAACATTATTCATATAGAAAAATACTGAATTATCTTTCTTAGATTACTTTTTATCCCCACCTCATATATTGGCACGGATTTTTTTCATACAAAAATTAAGGATATACATTTGAATTTTTATAAGAGAATGTTGTGTGATCGTAAAGTAGATGACTCCTGTTTATTAAGTTTCTGTTTACAAGCTGAAAAAAAAAAATGAAAATTAATGGTTTTGTTAAGAGTCTTCTTAGAAACTCTTTTGAGGCCAATAAATTCGCAAAAGCAGATAAATGTTCTTATTCTGGGAACATTTCCCTTCTATAATCTACAATTTACATACATGGGAATAATTATTGGTTTTGGTTTCGTAGTTTCAAGGTTTGGGATGTTTAAAACTTAAAATAAAAGTTATTAAAATATGAGATTAGGTAAAGAAATCTAAGGGAGGTAATTCACTATTTAGAATCCTAATTTTATTTTAGATATTTAAATTGGCGATATACCTCTTTTCGCCGGGATAAGTTGTTAATCAGTTCCAACACAATACTAGGACACTCAGTGTCAGTGATGATACGAACTCGACACTAATGATCTTCAAGTTCAACAGACCATTACACCACAAATTTTATTTATTTTCTGATGCAAGAGCAAGACATTTCATAAATAAAGTTAAAGTAGCTGTGACTTATTTATTTTACAATTTTTATTGATGTTGACAGCATAAGGTTAAGTAAAGAAATAATTCTGAGGTTAAAATCGAAAAGGAAAATTCACAAAACAATTCTCATAAACAATCTTTTTTTTTGTGATTGTCTAAAAAAAAGTATGTTGAATTGAAAATCTGAAACTTGTACACAGAGAAACACTTACTTTTCTCTAAGTATTTTCTTTTTTAAAGGCTACAAAAATAAATATAGCTTACCTAAATATTCGGTACTAATTTTTTTTTTCGGCTCAATAATGTGAAAAATTAAAATCCAAAAATCGCCCGAAATGAATTTGCATTTGAAAACATCTAGGAATAAAATTCTCTATGTCATGCCCCTTATGTGACTAATAAATAATAAAACAAAATAAGCATTTTTTAAAATAATATCTTAGATCTACAAAAAATTTAAGAATATTTTGTTTCCCATTTCTCTTGATATTATTGATTTTCATTAAATAAATAGGATAAAAAAAAAACTAAAAGTACTCGATAAATTTGACTCAATGCTATAAGCGACTGTTGCTATGGTGATTAATAGGAAGTTATGGCTGTTTCAATGGATTGAATTTTTCTTTAAACGTTATAAGGTTGTTTTGTTTTATTTTATTTATTTTGACACTTACCTTTTAATATTTACCTAATTTCTAATGATGAAACTATCCACCGAAGTTTGTAAGTACATTTGTTCAACTCATTTTATTTAAGTTAACCTTGTAACAAAGTAAAGTTTCCCAACAACAATTTGGAGAGAGAGATGTGTGAAATCAGCGTCATTAAATAATAATACTTCATCATAGACTTAAAATTTGTCATATTAATAAAATAAGATAAATTTTTATGGGCATAGAAATTGGCCGATCCTGTTTGAAAACTTTCAAATGAGAAATGAAAATATATGGCCTGATGATTGCTTTTTTAGCATGAAACAGTCTGTTGCCTCTGAGTGTTGACATCAAACAATGTTCACTTTTAGTACTATCTCAGTCCATCTGTTGTTGGGAAAGGACTTTCTAACAAATCATCGACAAACTGCCCCTCCCCCGCTTTCATGCTCAGTACCGGTGCCCCACTTCTATACACCATCTAGACTTGTGGATTGCGTCCCTATCAATCCCAACCACACACCATCATTAAGTTTGCAACGACACTGGTTGTATTCGTTTCGGGAGGTGATGCCAGACTACATAGGAATGAAATAAAAAGAACTGCATGGAGTTTGGAGAATAACCTTGTGTTTTTAAACTATGCCTTAAAAACTTAAGACAAGGGAGCTGGTGGACTGTTCCTTTGGTTATCAGCAGAAAGTGTGTGGAGAGGGTGGATAAAAGTAACTTTCAGGTGCAGTGCTGAGGATCTCTCCTGGACTAACAACACCATCCCGTTGGCCAAGAAGGCGTAGCAGTAGTGACTGTTACTGAGAATTCTTAGAAAAAATAATTTACAAAGGAAGCTGTTGATGTACTGCATCACTGTATATAGTAGCTGCTCGGCAGCGGACAAGAGGATGTTGCCAAGAAAGGAAGACATTACTAATTCTCGTTGTTACCGCAAAACAGAAAACATAAAATCAGCGCATATCCCGGGTACCACTTGTTTGAACTGTTGCCCCCAGGGCATTGTTTTTTTTTTAGTATTTATTTCTAAGACAAAGCACTTGGTTGGGGGACATCTTTTATCTTTGGCCTGTATGTAAAATGAACGCTGCCACACATTGACAGTTTTCACTTTTCAGTGTTTTAAAAAGAAAAAAAAAACTATTACTTTTCTTTTCTCTTTATTCGATGTTGTGCATTTTGTGGGGCGGAGTGGGTATACCCAGGGGTTACTGTCCAATTTTATTGTGTATTGCACAGTGATAATAAATAAATGGTTCTTCTGTAACATTATACAGTGTCAATATTTACCAATTTTTTCTCACTTGACTTTTGATGACACTCTACAGGAGAAAATTGGCAATGATTGTGACTCTAAGGCAAAAAAAAAAAAAATCTCTGCTTTGAAATATACACTGAAAAATTAAAAGTAAATAAGACATCCAGTAAAAATTAATTTAAGCTAAAATGAATATTTTACTATGAAAATGTATTTTATTTGATATAGTTTGTTTTGCCCTTTCAGGAAATGTCTTTCATTCCTTTGGGAACCGGTTCATTTTTGAGAAACTATAAGTTTTAAATGGAACCAAGTACACTACAGTGTTTCTTGGTAGGGTTGATTTATAATACAGCGTAACCCGGATATAAGAGAGTTGTCGGGACCGGAGAAGAAGTCTCTTATATCCGGGTTTGGTCTACATTAAGGCTCTCATTTGGGACCAGAGAAAATCTCTCTTATATCCAGGTTTCTCTGTATATGTCAAAGGTCACCCATTTTGTAGACAATTATTGTGGGAAAACAAGGTTTAAACTTTAAACACTTACAAATTTAACCTTTTTTTACATTTTAAAATATTGATAATTACAAAACATAGAAATGACAAATGAAATACTGTCATTCCTTTGATTCAAATGTAAAAAAGTTTCCTTTTTTTGTGTATGTGAGTTTTTTATATGCGTGTTTATGCTGAAAGCATATGTATGTATCAGTAGTATCGTAGTAGTAATAGTAGCAGTTATACAGCAACAGGTAAATTTGGCTGGTGATAATACAAGTTCTGTAGTTAAAGAGTGCTAATAATAATAAAATGAAAGGGAATAAAATATTTATTAGAACTCTATCAGTATCACTCAGTTGAACGATGTCAAAAATGAGTAATCAGTAAATTATGAAACATTAAATTTTTAACAAATGCGTATAATGTCTACTGAAGTTTTTGACTATTTGATACAGAAAAGTAACGATTCCCTTGGTTTGGACAGAATACATTATTTGGAAAGCAACTAATGGATGTTGGATTTGCAGCAGCACATTGACATTTTCAAACTAATGGAGAATGTTGCTCAACACTCTAGAGCTTTGTGACCAGAACAAGTAAACAAGGTCACTACTAAGAAGCAGAAGAGTCCATTGAGAAAACCAAAACTCGTAAAAGAGTACCAATTCTGTATTTCTTGTCATGAACCAGGTAGAGAACAATGCCCAGCATATAGAAAAATGTGTCTGAAGTGCTGAGGCAAGAATCACTTTGCAGCAAAATGCAAACAAAGTGGAGATAGTAGCAGTAGACAGTCAGACTTTGAATACAAAGATATAGTTATGACTGGGAAAGCTGACAGCCTGGCACATGGGACAGTTCAAGCAGAAATGTTGGTGAAAGATAAAAAAAAAATGTTTCAGCTTGATAGTGGAGCTCCGGTGAATGTTTTCATGAACATGTTTCATACTTACTATGTTCAGAAATCTGAAGCCCTCTGACAAGGCTCTCCTCATATGGAATGTAGCAGAGATGAAACCACTGAGCAAGTGCTGTATAAAGACAGTTAACTCAAAAAACAGAAAGAAATAAGCTGCAAATTTTGTGATTGTGAGAGATGATTTGCATCTGCTCCTAAGTACAATGATGAACTTGGTCAGCATGAACAAGGAGGAGTTTCAGACAGTGGCTAGAGTTTTACAGAAGGAATTGAACACACACATGCTGATACACCAGCAAAGCTAATGGAAAATGGAATCGGGTAAAGGTGATGAAGAATCATTTTCAGAAAGCCAAAGTCACAGGCTAATCTATACAGGGTGTCCGTAAAGTTCGTGTGCACTTTAAAAAAATTATAACTTTATTTGTATTTGCGATAGAAATAATATGTAAAAAATGTTATAATACAGTATTTCAACAAGATGGAGCTCCTTGCCAGTTTGCTCTGCATGTTAGAGAGTTTCTAAATCAGGAATTTCCTAACAGATGGATCGGAAGGGGTGGACCATTTTATTGGCCTTCACGTTCACCAGATTTGACTCCATTAGATTTTTTTTTATGAGGACATGTGAAAACAATTGTGTATACAACCAAACCTATTTTATTAGAAGATTTGAAAGCTAAAATGTGATTTCAGGCATTACTGTAAATCAGTTGGCAAATGTTTTCCATGAACTGCAAAATTGTATTACCCTTTGTATTGCTAATGATGGAGGACATGTGGAAACTTAAATAAAATTTCAATAAAACCTTAAAAAATATAGATTTACTTCTTTCTAATCCTTTTTACAAATTATTTCTATCGCAAATACAAATAAAGTTATAAATTTTTTAAAGTACACACGAACTTTATGGACACCCTGTATTTGGCAATATTGGCTCACCAAAACACATCCACAAAAGGTCTTCTATCACTGTTACAGAAGCTTATGTCAAGGAGCATAAAAACTCTTTTTCCAACCATGAATGACCTGCTAATACTGGAAATATCCAGAAATATAAAATTGGCATTGACTCATGGAGATAGAAACAAGAACTCTACTTCAATCAGAAAGTCAGATCCTTGCTACTTTCACTCCCAGCAGAAGTTGTCCAGGTGAAACCATATGTAAGAAATAAGAAGGAATAGACTAAAAGAAAAAGAAAGTTGAGTGAAGGGGCAAAATAATCCCTGTAAGGCAAAAGAGGGCAGTCTATCCAATGAATGCCTTGGTTACTCATCTCCTGCTCATTCCCGTCAAGTAATAAAAGGAAAGAAAAATGTTTTCTTTCAAAAGGGAAAAGATGTTTCATGAGAACCTGTTTTTGTGGGACACCACTTACACTAAGCAGCTCATGTGATGTAAGAGTAGAAGTCTGTTTTAAATAAAGCAGACTACTGTAATGATGTACAAGTCATGTTGCTTAATTTCAGTGGCCATAGACAGAGATAGAGCATGAAACAGCAAGTTGTAAATTTATGCAGATCTTACTATTTGCATATTATAACTGTTCTATAGAAATTTAAATTAAGTTACCAAGAGATTAAAAGTAGGTGTGTTGTTTAGAAAAACATTTCAATAGTTTGGAGAATAGTTTTATGCTAATTCTACTACAAGCAAAAATCTGTGGAAAAAGTGGTTCATAAAAAAATATTTCAATTTCAATATTAATCTTTTCTAACTAATTAGCAAAGGTGAAGGAAGGCAATAGATTTCAGTCTATTTGTAATCTGTTTTTGTGGGAGGAAATAGATTGGTAAACTGTTAAACATCTTGTCTTGGCTCATTACAGGAAAATGTAAAAAATATGATGTAAATTTGGTAATAGTAATGGCTAAGCTGTAAATTGCTTTTTATATATTTTGAAGGATCAGAAATTATAATTTTTCCATTTCTGATGTTTTGTTTCATATTGGCTGAAAAATCTCTCTTGGCAATCACATGGCATGCTTTTCATTATGTCCACAAGAACAATTACATGACATGAATTAATTCAAATTTGAAGTTTGCAAATCATAAACAGACCATCTCTCTTTTTTGTTGCTGTTGAAATATACATGAGTGTGATCAGTATTTTTCACAAACTTTTGCCTATATCTCTTTCATTATATTGCATAGGCACCAATTGTTGTCTGTGAAAGAAGCGACATTATTTTGGTGAATAAATTATTTAAAATAGTTCAAATAAGTTTGTCCAGAAATTATCTAGCTATTTAATATTAACAATAAGATAATCTGCATAGGTCAGTAGTTCATTAGTCTTTTAAAATACTCTTCTTGGAGCTTCAGGCACTTACTCTAGTATCCCTTCCAGCCCTCTTTAAGGATTACCATCAGTGGCCTTGTCACATTATCATTAATCTGTTGTACCACAATCTGAAATCTTCCTTTTGATAGTGATTTGGGAAAAGCCAGAAGTTACAAAGAGCCAAATTTGGACTGGGTGGTGGGGCTGACAAACCTGATTGATGTGAAAAACCCTGTATGAGGCATGAAGAATGAGCATCCATAATATTCAAAATTGCTGGATACTTTTGGGATAGCCCATGAAATCTTCAAATCTTTTAATGAAGTATTTTGCCCATGTTAATCACAACAGAAGCCTGAAAAGTGAAAACAGAACTAGATAAATTGAGACAATAGTGAAAAGTTATTTTTCTGAGTTAAAATAAAGATAGTCTGGCATACCTTATATATTTTCCAGAAAGGAAAGAAACTAAAAAAGTAAAGTGTATAAAGTTTACCAATAACTTTGAAGCTGTGAACGGTGGTAGAGGACCAACAAAGTCAGTATTCATAACATCAAAGTTATTCCTGAACGTTACACATACTTTACTCTTTTAATTTATTTCCTTTTTTTAAATGCAAGAAAGTACTGAAAAGATCTTAGTCTGGCTCAGTTCCAAAAATCAGTATTTTAATGTCCAAATATCAGAATATTGATTTTGGCAAGTGGATCAGGCTGAGAACTTTTCAACAACCCTTGTATATAAGTGCTATTCTTGTGTGACAAATTCAATATCTGATATGCCCTTAAGGTTTAAGGTAAGCTGTAACTTTTATAGATGATTATTTAGGTTTGATCATGATTTATTTCTTAAAAGGGTCATACTCTACAGGCACTGAGACATACTCAGCTGAAATTGCACCATATGGATCAAAGAAATAGATTGGAAGTAACAGGGATACAGAATTAACATGTTGAGAGTTGGTATCACTTCTTATTAAGTACTATATTAAGCATGAAAAATCTGCCATCTTCTATTCCCCCATACTAATAATGTCACTGTTGAAAGAGCTTGGTAATCTCTTTTTGAAATGGTAAGATGTCTATTCCTCAGGTCAACATTACTGAAAATGTTGTGAACAGACATTATCATTTCAACTGCCTGACCCGCGACCCAAAATCTGAGCATTATTTTGTCACTAGTAGCAGAAAATACTGTCGTTTTATATTGTCAAATACCAATAGGATCCTTGAACTTAACTTTTGAATTTGTTTCAGATCATTGACTGAACCATGTCATCAGAAAGTGTAGAATTTTCAGTTGTCAAACTCCAGGCCATCATGAAGTTCTTGTTTCTGCAGAAGAAAACTCCAAAAGGAAATCCATGATGGCTGACAAGTACTCATTGTATTTAATTGTGAAGCAGTATACTAACTTCTAGTGTGGAAATTTCAAGTCACAGCCTTCCAGAAATTGTTGCCCATATTCATGACCTAATTCTGGCCAATCATAGAAATTTGGATAACAGAATTACCTCTAGACACTAGATATAACCAGAGAATGCATTGGTTTTATAATAACAGCAAGAAAGGTCATGACCATGTTTTTTGGGGTTTTTTTTAGCATAAGGAAGGTGTTTTCATGAAGAGTCAAATACTTAATATAGAATACTACTGTCAAGGTGTTCTTGTTTTGCAGAACTGACAAGGCAATAGATGTTTTGAAGAATTTGATGTTTGAGTAGTACATGGAGCATCCACCCTACACATCTTGCTTCAAATGATCTGGGGGTGGTAGTAGCTGCTGATTTCAGTGATCCAACAGAATTTTAAAAACGTGGGGGCTGCAGAAGTTTGAGAAATTATGTGCCAAGCATGTTGAACTTTAGGATGAATATGTGGAATGACATGTACAGGTCATGCCTGTAGGTCATTCCCTTTTTGGTTGGAACAAGAACTTTTCAGAATCACATATATTTATAATAGGTGTTACAGTCCCAAAACAGAAAAAATAGCTTTAACACTGTTAACTGGGAGTAAACCAAATATGAATAAAAATATATACTTTTGATACATTTTGTTAGGAATAATGTGTACATAGTAAAAAGCAGCTTGATGTCAGAAGTGTAAAAGTCATTTTTGTGGTCTTATCATAAAGTTAATTTGGCATACTTTATTTTACAAGTATGAAAGTAGTTAAAAAACAGTAGGGTGAGGTAAAATAATTATTCAAAGAAAAACAGTTAAGAATATCTATATAAATACTGTTGAAAATTACTGCCAAAATACATGATGCATGATTGGGGAAAATACACCTTTTTTGAAAGATTAATGTACATTTTACTAAAGGCATTCTATTTTACCAAATATTTTGTGCTTGCCTGTTCAGAATAATCATTTAAGAAAGGAATGAATGGAAAGTAATTTTTAAGAACATGATGCATTAAAAGAATTTGCTTCAATTTGCAAACACTTGACACTACTTGACATGAAAAGTTAACATTAATCCATAGTTGATCTCCTAAATTTGTTATGAAAGAGAGTGAGAGAGGAGATAAAAACACTTAAAAGTATTTTGTTGATCAGTTGTTTTTTTCCTCACAGTGACTGCAAACTGGTTAATGCATGATTAAAAATACATTTTTTTAATAACAATATTCAAATATTACAAATTTTTCCAAAAAGATTATATCTAAATTCTGGTAGAATGGCATATTTCCATGTTTTTCACTTGACAAAAGATATTGTCTAAATAAAAAAAAAGAATGTGTATATACATTTTGTTATGATGTTGATTTGGGGTTAATAAAGACAAACGCTAAATAACACGTAACAATAAAAAGGGGTTTATTCGGTTGGTAAGTAGGTACAGCAATCGCCTGAGTAGTCTATAACAAGCTCAGCCAAGAACTTCTCCGACTCTGTCTGTCTTTTGACATGCCACTATTTAACGTCTTTGTTTGTAGACAAGTTCATCTTCAAGAGGGGTGGTAGGTTTCCTACACAACACATTTATACAGTGATTTTAGTAATTAAGTCTAAGTGTTATGGTAATATTGAGTAAGGTTTGTCATATGTTATAGCAATTGAATGAGTTGTCTAACCTTGCATTTAAATTATGAATGAATGAATGCCATAAATTAGTATTGAGAAAACATGTGAACTAATGTTCCTATTAGAGAAAGGATAGGAGAAAATTTAAATACTTCTTTACCTCATAATTTATTGCTGTGTAATGTAGTGTGCAAGAGTCTTAGTATTTATTTACTGGAAACTTTAGAATTACAACAAACTGACTCAAGGCTAAAAAATAAATAATATATATTTATTTATTTGATTTAGAGTGACTCCTTTAGTATTCAGTATAGCAAATTTTTCGTTTATAAGGGGGATATTGGCAGCAGTCTGGAGAAAATTTGTTCTCATTCAGTAGCGGTTAGTTTCAAAGTCAGACCTTGCTAATAGTAGTCTTCTTAGAAATAGGTCAGCGTCATTCTACTGTGTTTTTCTTAGCCCTAAGAAGGGCATAAAATATGATTAACAGATGACCTCTTAACTACTTCAAGCATCATGCCTGATTGGTTCCTCTGGCAGTCTCATCTCTTGTCTCATGGTTTCTTTGGTGGTCCTTCTCCTTGTCTACCTCAGAGCTGTGATCTTATATCCTTTTGACCAGGCTCCCTGACACTTGGTGCAAACCTAGGTTCCAGCTAATATCAAAAGTCTCTTTGTGTTCATGTTTTTGAGTGGCCCGGATTATTTTATTTACCGGCATTCCTTTCTTTTTCATTTTTTTATATAAAAAAGTTATTCGAGTTAGGATTAACCCTAACCCTGATTTTTGGTAGTTTTCAGTCACAAATTAGTAGACTTTGGTCCTACAAACCTCTGCTGTTTTGCAGACAGGTTCAGTCTTTTCTTCTTCTTCCTCTTTTTTATTTCAGGGTTGCCTTCTCATTAGTTGAGAGAGAAGTTTTGAGAGAGAAAAAATAGATATTAAGTGATTTAAAGAAAAAGCAGAAATACCTTATTTTAATTTGAATTCTTTTTATTTTGTTTATATTTATTTCATTTTTTTATATAAGCTCACTACAGCTGCCATGGTTGGATGTAGAAAGAGAAATAGTCTATTGACTTATATATGTCTTAAGAATATGTGAGAAATATATTAATTTTTTCAAGATAAATCTTGCTTGACCCAACGTAAGTATGATTGTGAAAAGAGTAACTCTTCTGTGTATTGTAGGTGTCCAATGGATGAAGTTCAAATATTGCACACAGCTCAAACTTTGTCTCTGCTAATAAGTTATTCATGTTTTGCGATAAAAAAAAATTATTTATAATTAATACAGATTTTACAAAATATTTCACTTTCTTATTCATTAATATTATTCTGTAATGATTTTTTTTAACAGATGTCATAGGACTTCTCCAGCTGCACTGATGCCTTAACTGAGCTTACCATGACTTGTGTGCCAAGAGTGATCACAGGCAACACTGTCAACATGGCTGCTGTGAACTGTATCAGCAGGAGACCTTATCAAAAAGGAATAAATAAATACATGACAAAACCATTTGTAAGAGGGTTTACTTACATTTTATATCAATGTTTAAAAACAATTTATGTTCAGAAATTTTACTTCAAGTATTTTTTGAGATTATAAATTTTATTCTCTATTATGCATATTCAGTAGAGTATGAATTCTCTCAATCACCATTTTTACATACATGACTTGGTTAAATTGGCAAAAATATATCTGAGCAAGAAAATAAAACAGTCATTATTTCACAACATTAAAAAAAGATTTATTTACACATATTAACATATAAATATGTAATAAGAAAGAAAAGTCTCTACTAATGTTATAATAGCAATAATATATGGTCCTCCTATCATCAGAGTTTGTATGGCATTGAGAATTAGTGTATTTTTACATTGTCCCATCAGTGTGCAACTGTGGGTATTTGAATTTAAAATCTTCACATGTATATGTCTACTCATAGTGAAAATAGTAATAATAAACCAACATTGAAATATTCTGTGTGTATTCATTCTTTTTCTCCCCCGTTTTTACCTGTATCTACTCATTCTCTATCTCAGGATTTTTAGCTCTGTCTAATCACTCTTTTTTTCACATTTGCTGCTCGAATGAAAGAATGTATTGCATCTCGCAAATTTGGCTCCAAAGATTATTGGTGTCTCTGCAAGAGCATACTTAACAATAGCAAACCCTCTATACCTCCTTTATTCAACCAGTTCAAGGTTCTGACCTCTTCTACCAACAAGGCTGAATGCTTTGCTCAGAAATTCTCATTCAATTCAACACTCGACTCTTCCGGTGTACCCACACCCGATTTCCCCCTTAGAACTGAGGCTCTATTGAGCAAGTTGCACATAACCCTGTCATCGGTATTGGGCATTATCTCTAATTTAGACCCCCACAAGGCTAGTGGTGGAGATAGGATACCAGCCATTGTCCTGAAGAAATGTGCACCTGAACTGGCCCCTGTCCTCTCCAAATTCTATAACTACTGCCTCAATGAATCTTGTTTTCCAGACTGTTGGAAGTGCTCATCCATTGTTCCTGTCTTTAAGAACTCTGGAGACCCTTCTAACCCTTCTAATTACCGTCCTATCAGTCTCCTACCCCTCTTCAGCAAAGTCTTCAAAGCTTTAATCAATGCCGAAGTGGTTAAGCATTTTACATCCCATGATCTGCTCTCTGACAAGCAATATGGTTACCACTTTGCCTGTTCTACATCTGATGGGATTACGGCCATCACTGAAATTGTTTACCAAGCTCTTCATAATAATGAAGAAGCTCGTGCCATGGCCCTAGATATCTCCAAAGCATTTGATAGGGTTTGATATGCCAGCCTTCTTCGCAAGCTTCAGGGTTATAGAATTTCAGGTCGATTGTTTGACTTAATACAATCGTTCCTGTCAAACCGTGTATTGAAGGTCGTTCTCAACGGATTCTCCTCCAGCTCCTATCCCACGAACGCAGGTGTTCCCCAAGGCTCCATACTAGGCCCTACTCTGTTCCTTATCTTCATCAATGATCTTCCTGACATCATAGGTTCAAGAGTAGGCAACTTCACAGACGACACTACAATTTACTCCTGCCTCAAAAACAAATCTAGTGTCATTGACAAAACTAACCTGGCCATTCGTCTCGAAAAGAACCTCCAATCAGTTGTGAACTGGTGCAGGAATTGGCTGGTTAACTTTAATGCCTCAAAAACAAAACTGCTCTCTATTACTCACCACAGAGAATCATCCCCCCCCCCATTAGAATGTCAGACGCTCAACTTCTCGAGAACACCTCTTTGCGACTACTTGGTCTCACATTGACTGCTGACCTCAGATGGAACAAATACACTGAGTCAATAGCTTCGTTCACCGCAAGGAAAGTTGGCTCCCTGTGCCGCACCAGGAAATTTTTCTTGCCAGAATCGATCCTTCAAATCTACAAATCAACCATTCACCCTTGCATGGAGTATTGCTGCCATATATGGTCTGGAGTCCCTTCTGTTTGTCTCAAGGTTCTTGATAAAATCCAGAGATGGATATGCAATGTAATTGGCCCTGATCTGGCATCTCATCTGCAGTTGCTCTTTCATAGATGTGCCGTTGCCTTCCTTGTCTTTTTTACAAATACTTTCATGGTAACTACTTCGATGAGCTGCTTTCACTGGTTCCCAGACTTTGTGAATTTAAGCATTCTACTAGGCTTGCATCTCGCTCTCACCCTTTCACTGTCAAAACTGTTAAATGGAGCCATCTCTTCTACTCCAATAGCTTCATGCCTCACACCTCTTACCTGTGGAACTCCCTCCCCTTTTCCTGTATCTGTTCAAATGTAATATCAATTGATGTCTCCAGATGCCTTGATCTATCCCCTAACCTTCTCTTCATCCTTTCCTCTATCACTCCTATTTGCTCTTGCTCCAACTCTCTGTAACCCCTTGTGTGCTAGTGGCTTCCCGCCTTGACTGGGGTGAAATGCTAAAAAAAAAAACTTTTTACTTGTGTCTACCGAATCTCTTTCTCACCCTATTTATTTGTGTCTACTCATTCTCTTTCTCACTCTTTTTACTTGTACCTACTCCTTCTCTTTCTCACCCTTTTGACTGTCTACTCATTCTCTTTCTCACCCTTTTCACCTTTGTCTGCCCATTCCCTTTCTCACCCTTTTGACTTGTGTCTACTCATTCTCTTTCTCATGATTTTAACTGTCTACTTATTCTTTTTTTCACCCTTTTTACCCATGCCAACTCTTTCTTTTTCTCACACATTTTAGATGTCTACTCATTCTCACCCTTTTTACTTGTGTCTACTCATTCACTTTCTCAGCCTTTTTACTTGTGTCTACTCATTCACTTTCTTACTTTTTTTAGCTGTGACTACTCATTCATTCTCAACCTTTTTAGTTGTGTATACTCAGTATCTTTCTCATCTTTTTTACTTGTACCTACTCCTTCTTTTTTTCACGCTTTTTGATTGTCTACTCATTATCTTTCTCACACTTTTTATCTGTGTCTATTCATTCTCTTTCTCATCCTTTTTACCTGTATTTACTTCTTCTTTTTCTCACCCTTTTTAATTTTATCTACTCATTCTCCTTCTCAACTTTTTTAGCTGTCTACTTATTCTCTTTCTCACACTTTTTACTTGTGTCTGTCTCAAAAAATATTGGATGCTAATGTAGCATCATATATATATTCCCTCTCTGACCATGTTCAAAACAAGTGGGTCTTATATGTTATCAAAAACAATGTGTTAAGTAAGAAAAATAATTTTTTAATTTTTCATTATATAAAAAATACTTTGCTCACCTCTTTATATAATTTTATTATAGAATTTTAACTTTCATTGTCAATGCTTCACATCATGAATTTTGCTTTGTTTTATTCAATAATTGACCTTTTTAATACCCCCCTCCCACTTCCATTGAGTTATACTTTGCTATTCTAATAGCAATAAGAAACCTGGTCTCCTTTCACTCATTTACTTCATTTTTTACTCTTTAGATATTTCTAAGGTACATACTTGGAATACTACAAGAGCTTACTGATTTTGTGAAATGGGTCAAGCTGAGAAATTTTCAGCCCCTATGCCTCTGTAATGATGACAAAGAAAATAATTGATAAATTAAAAAAACAACTTTTGTTTGTATAAATTGATTACCCTAATATGATTTTTTTTACTTATGAACTCTTAAGATTAAAATGCAGTTCATGTTTTATTTTTATCTCGCAATGAACTAGAAAAAAAGACATGTTTAAATATTATTTAATAATTTTATTGAATTCAAAACAAAACCATTTTACTATAATTCCATTCACCAAAAATATCCAAATGAAAATTTTATCTTGTTTCTAATAATATTTTTACTGCAAGTATGCAGGCAAAATTCTATAAAAAAATAACTAAATAGTTCCAGTGTTTTTAGTGTTTATATTTATTAACTAAGATTGCTGTTGCTTTCATTTCAAAAAGGCAAAATAATTCCAAATTCCAAATGACCATTCTAAAACTCTAGCATCTGTGTAGATTTTTGTAAAAAGGGTCTGTTTAAAGAAATGTCTGACTGCTAAATGTGTATGACTGTACAACATCAATTTACTTTATACCTACTGACTAGATATCTTGTATATCAGTAACTTTGTTAAGTATCTGAAATAATTGTCAACAGACCACATCTGGCACTATGCAACATTTCTGAAACCTGCAAAAATCAAAACCTCAATATCAAAAGCCTACAAAGCATATATACTATAAACGCTTAATTGAACATATTAAGCACTTATTATTTTTATTAGATTTCTAATTAGTCAAACTTCATGGGACACATGATAAATTATTGTCTGATATGTATGTATAATGCTTCTCTTAGTCTAGCTAATACATTCTAAAAACACTGTACTCTAAAACTTATACTATAAAAATGATAATGTTATTATAGGTTATGTTATTGTCAGAATTCATACATAGGATTGAATAATACAATTGACTTTCAGTAGACACAAATTTTATTACAATTCTTGCAATCATAAAGAAACTATGCCAGAATGCTAGTCAAGAAATGATCACTCTCAACTGGGCCCATGAGAAAGAAAGTCTGATGTCATAGAGGCCCAAAACTTTTTATGACCCTATAATAGACATCACTAAGGAAGTATTCTGTTGCACAATATATGCATATAAAAGGAACAATGCAGTATTTATAAATTTTTTCTCACGTTACTTTTAGGGCTTTTAGAAAAATTGTTTTATGTTATAAAACATTAATAAATAATAATGTACTTTAGATACAAATTATATAAAGATAGATCAATAACTTCATAGTTTGACACATTTATTAACTAAATTTTAATCTAAAATTTTCACAATATAATTTTTTATCTTTGTGATCTTTAAGAGATTTCAACTGTTAAATCATGGAGTTTTGATGAAATTGTTGAAAAATCTGAAAATTTTATTTTAATGCAATTAAATTGATATATCTAAAAAAATGTTAAAAATTAAGTATGACAAGTTGATTTTATATAAAGGTAAATTGATTTCTCTTTCAAATGATACCAAATTTAACCTCCTTGATGTTACTGGCTATGGGATAGGGTTTTTGGAAATTTAAACTTTGTAAAAGTTGTAAATTTCTAGCATCTCTAGTAGGTCATATGATGGGTGTTAACATTGTGTATTGAAACAGTGCTACTCTATTGTGGCTGCATTCAGGTACTCCCAGACTGTAAGTGTGTGTGGTTTTAAAGGTTTAATGGAAAAATCATCGAATTAAGTACATTGAAAAGGAAGTTATGCTGAAAATTATTTATGGTATAAAATAATTGCTTTTTTCATCATTTGGCTACAGACTTATTGATATACATACATAAAATTTAATGAGGTATATTTTTATATTGTCAATGTAATTATGTTATTTTTGATAATTATAATAATTTTCCTGTTTTTTTACTTTGTTTACAGAAAGATGCTTCTACAGAATTGAAGATGTTGCTGGAGCCACTTAGTTTGTTTACTGTAGAGCAACCACCAAAAGGTAATTAGGTTTAATTCTATGTTCATTGATGAGATTTCTAAATTCATTTGGCATAGGACAACAGTGTCTGATTTAATAACATGTCTCAATAAGAAACTCAGAACTTTAATATAAAGTAGAAAATGGAAACAAATTTTTATTTTCAAAAATTGGTTACGCATTTGAATTTCTTGTTTGTATTGTTTATGTTATTACAACATTACAGATGATGGGCATGTGGCCAAGTGGTTAGAATGTTAGCATTCTGACAATAAGATCTGTGTTTGAATTTCAACATGGTTGATTTTTGTCAATGAGGTGACTCTTGATAATATCAGCTTGAGGATCCCAGCATTCAGCACCATTGAGAAGTGTTTGCAAACCCTACCCCACAAGTTGACCCAACTTCTTGGAAGCTATCAATGGTTTTACTAGCATGAAATCACATGACATATTGATCAAGGGTTTGAACACAGTAGCCTTATTCAAAATGTAGATCATCACAGATTATGTGTTCCCTCCCAGAAAATGTAAATATAGTCTGAGTAGTATAAGCTTGCTCTGTGAATATTTAACAAATACAAATGTGCTTGAGAAGGCATCTGCAACAGGGAATAGCTAGCCACCCTAGCAGATAAACATACTCAGATATGAGTAGCTAACAATACTATGCAGCCATACAGCTGATAACTTCTACAACATTCTTCAGTTGTAAAGTCTGTAAAAAAAATAGAGCTGTCTCTTTTTTTCCCTGTTTTTGACAGAACCAAACAACAAATGATAATAACTCTAGTTAAAATGATAGTTTTTCATGTCAAACACGCACAATTTGCTGTGAAATAGCTCAAGTGCTGTTTGGTAACAATTGCTTTTTCTATGTCCAGTGGTCATTAACTTATTTTTAAGAAATAAAGTTACTATAATTTCTGTTAAAGAGAGAAAAATTTATCAAGGAAGAGTTGAAAGAGAAAGTTGACATTATTGAGTGGAAAGCAATGCATTCAAGTGTCTTCCAAATAAGTTGAGTAAAAATAATTATCATTGCATATGGATATTCATTTATTTCTGTATGTGTGTAAAAGAAGAAAATATTGGTGGTGACTAGTGACATATTTCTGTTAAATTTTAGACAGGGAATTTCTTCATCTTTTTTTCCTATTGGTAGGAATGAGAAAGAGTTTTAAAGAAATGTTTTGTTGAATCGTTGGTTTTAAATTTAATATTTACAAATTTGTTTAGATTTGTAGAAATTTCAAATAAATTAGCACATTTGTTTTAATATTACCTAATAAGCATGTATGTAAAATTCCATAAAACCCCATAATATGAATACATCTTTAAGTCTTTCATTTACATAAACTTAATAGGAGGAAAATGTGTATATTTATCTTTATTGCAAAGATACAGGCCAAATGTGCTGTTTGTGAAACCCACTATTTTAAAAATCAAGACTATATTCAAAGTATTTTTAAATGAATTTATTCCAAATATCCTAATTATACTTCACATAATTTTCTATGACGATAAATTCTGAGTTTTGTAAAATAATTTTAAAAGTAAATAAATGGTTTGCAAGTAAATAATGGTTTGCATTCAAAATAAATTCTTTCTGCCCATTTCAAAATCCTGCAACTAGCAACATTACTCCACCTGAGCAGTATCTTCATCTTTTTTTCAAGAATTCACACTCTTTAAACCTGATGTTGTTTTATCTGCCTTCTAAATCAGAAATTTTAATTTTTTATACTGATAAACATTTACTCACTACTTTAAATACAAGATACCAAAAAGATTCGTGGCTAACCCACTTTTCAAAATCTGATCAAATGACTGGAATAACAAGCATTTGGTTGTGAAAGAAAGGAATAACAAAGATTAAATTTTCAACAGTGTGTATTTGTTAAATAAGCATAATATATATATATATATATATATATATATATATATATATATATATATATATACAGTTGTTATAAAATTGGCAAAAATTGTTAATATGTAGTTTTTGATTACTGTTTGTCAGAATAGCAATTAGGTGTAAGGGTGTTGTCATAGTGCTGGGAGTTGACTGATTTCTTGAATTGATTTGGCCGAGTTGGGGTCAGGGCATACATCTTGAGTGGATGAGCCATTAGTGGGATTTGACACACACCTTTCAATGTTGAAATCAACACCTGTGATAGTGTTGATGGGCTGGTGGTCATGTAATGCCAAGATGTTGAAGCTGAATTGCTTGGTAAGGTGGGTTGGTGTGTTGATTACAATGGTGGGTTGATTTGTGGTAAGATGTATTGGTTGCTGAGGTTACAGCAGGAATTAGGATTAGCTGGTGAATGTTGACAAGTGGAAAGTTCCTGTTGGATTCTAGCCAAATGTGGTATCAATGAGACACGGTCACTTTGGTGATAGCAAGAGAGACCTGAAATGGGCAAACAGAATGTTTCTGTTGGATTCGAGTTGAATGTGGTATCAACAAAACAGGGTCACAATGGTGACAGCAATGGAGGCCTGGAGTAGACTGTTAGGGCTGATCAAGTGGAATGTCTCTGTTGGATATTGGTTGAATGTGGTGTCAATTAGACGAAGTTACAATGGTGACGATGTTTCTATTGAATTCAGGTTGAATGTGGTATCAACAAAAAAGGGTCATGGTGATCTGGATGAGGGTGACCTGGAGCAGACAGCTAAGGCTGATCAAGTAGAATGTCTGTTGAATTCTGGTCAACAGTGGTATCAGTGAGATGGGGTTGGTCAAGTGAGTGGAATGTTTCTGTTGGATTCTGTCCAAATGTGTTATTAATGAGGCGGGTTACAGTGGTGATAACAAGGGAGGCCTGGAGTAGATAATTAAGTGGTAAGGTGGGTTGATTCATTTTGAGGCATGTTGGTGGGGGTCACAGTGACGACGAGGGAAGCCTGAAGTTGGGTGGTAGCAACGTTAAGGTGTTATAAATCATGGTGGTTGTTGTTGGGAGCCTGGCAGTATTGGAGCTGGATTGTCAGCCATATTCTGTATGTGAAGAGTTGAGTGAGATTAGTGAAGCTTGGGTGAGGTAACAGTTGTGATGAGAGAAGCGATCATGGCAGTAATGACGACAAATGCACCTGCATTTCAACAGGTGGGCTTTCGGTCTGCAACTATTCAAAGCTGTGATGAGAGAAGCAATCATTATGGTAATAGCCTTTCGGCCTACAACTGTGTTGGTCATTATAAGGAGGCCTTCTTTTAAGCAAATCAGAATTGGCTATTGTGGAGATTTGTTTCATGGACCAGATGTGATGCTCAGAGCCCATGCACAGAAAACAACTTTTTTTTATTTTGTGTTCTGTCTTCTTGGCACTTACATCTGGCCAACATGCAGAGTGAAGCAGAAAGATATCTAATTGCTGCAGAATATAAAATGACCACAAACCAGAATTTATTTTAGAATTCCTTGGTCAAGCTGAGAATGTTCTACAAAAACAAGTATGGTGTGACCAATATTCTAGACAAGCAGAATACCAATGGAACCATAGTCATGAAAACTAATTTTCAATCTTTTTCAGATTTACCTAAGGAGTTACCTAAACCTAAAGTAGTGGAAAATCACAAGGTAAGTTAATTTTTTTTTTATTATAGATATGGGTCTGTAAAAAATAATGATTATGACATGGAATATTCTATTTGTATACTAGGTCAACTTTTATTATGCAAGTTAATATTTTCACAATAGAATTAGTATTAACCAACTTTTGTGCACATGTGTGTGTTACTATCTAATATGCCTAGTGTATTTGTATGCATATTTTCTTTCTGTTTGTAACTTTTTTTTGTTTGTAATGTCCGTAATTTTTTTTTGTGTTCACTTGGACCAAATTTTCCAAGCAATATTTTTTTTTGTCTGACCATGTAGCACAATCTTTTTGAAAGACCTCTTCATAACAGTGAAAATACGCCACAAAAGTTACCTCCTCCCCAGAACTGTACTTAAATTTGCCAGTCACATTTATTACCAAATCCTGAGAAAAAGAATTCACATTGCCTTGCTCTTTTTCTTTTTTTAACCCTAACAATTTGAACATTTTTTCAAACTGTTCATTTTATTTCTCAGAGCATTCCTGGTCCAAATGTTGTTGTTCATCCAATTGTTCATTTTGTTTCTTTTGGTTTCTTATGAATTACAACATTGCTTCTTTAAAATCCTCCATATTTCTTTATAGGGACAAAATTTAACTTAGAAACCAGACAAAATTCTTACTTGTTTTTACATGTCTGACTTGGAATTAATCCAAAATTGATTAGTTGCCAAATAATTTCTTGATATATAACTATAAATTTTTACACTTGAGTCCTCAGTCTGTGTTGGTATTAACATTCAATTTTTTTATTGTCAAATGTTGGTATCAACTGTAAATTTCAAATCCCTTGTGGCCAAATATTGTATTGTGAAATGGATAAGTCAATTTATGTATTAGAAGTAATAGTAATTTATTTCAAAGAATAATACGGTACTAATAGTTGAGAACACAGTCTACTGGAATAACAATTAATTGTGAATTTCACCTCAGTTCTGTTCAACTTCCACCTCTCAGTAAGAGAGTGTGCCATTTATCTTTTTAGATCAGTTCATTTTGCGGAGGTGATCTGGTACTCCATAACACTAGGGCCCTGATTTTCCATTTCAAATTTTCCTTGATTCCATTTCTACTTTTGGTAAATTCTGTTTTTTTCGTTTTTATTTTTGGGAAATTTCATTTTTTCCATTTTATAGTATTTTATGAGAAAATTTCAATACAGTGTGCTATAATTATTATTAAAACTGAAAACAAAAACATAATTCAAAGTTTTATTGCATATAAAGAAATAGAAAATATCTACAAATCTTTTTTTAAATGTTAAAATCCAAGTCCAAAAATAAATTATATGTAAAAAAAAAAATGGAACATAACTAGACAATAAAACAATGGAATGTTACAGTGAATATCTTTGAGGTAGAACTTTTAATCAGAGCTTCCTTCTTTAAAAACAAATTCAAAACACATTTAAATTGTTTTTGTTTTTTTAAGTAAAAGTATTTAGATTGATTTATAATTATTGATTCATAATATAAAAATCACATTTAAAGTATCAATAGCAAATAACTTGAATCTCAACAATAAATATCTGAATAAAGTCAAAGATTTTGACTAAAATTTAACAAATCAGTAATTAAACCATAATAACTGGAGTTTTGTAACAAAATATCAAAAAACAAATTAAACATATTAATTCAAAATTTAAATAAATTAGCTGCCTAGGATCAAACAAGGGAGCTGCCTTGTAAAAGTTATACACAGGGTGGGTATCCAGATATTTATTCAATTTCGAAAAAGATGTGCTGAAAAAATCTTGGAAATAACTCTCTCTCCCTGTCTGTGTTTTCTAGTTCAGACAGAAGACGATCAGTTTCTATACCAAATGTTGATTTTGATGTACCAGTATGCAAATACTGTTTACATCCTCCATCATTTTATATACAACACATGCAAGCAGAGACTTAGTTTCTTCTAAGTTTGTCAAAGCTGTTATTAAATGAGTGCAGTTCTCATTTATAAAATGCTAATTTAGGCACAAATTATGGTAAGAGGCATGATGTAGTTGACCATAATCTACTAATTCTAGAATCCTATCTATGGCAAGGCCATGGCTCTTTTCTTGCTTTAAGAATCCTTCATAAAACTGTACAAAGGATGAGTGATATGTGGTCACATTAAACCAGGAATTCCATCTGGTTGCCATTGGTACAGGCTGACTTGATGAAAGTAGTTATCTGGGTAACATTATCAAATGCTGACCAGTGTGAAAATACTTCAACAAGATTTAAAATACATGCTAAACACAACACATGGCAACTGTTAACAAAGATATTTGACAACACTTCCTTATGAGCTTTTTTGCAATAGGCTGCAGAATCTGTTACAAAGGCAATAATATCGTCAAATGCAATATCCACACGTTACAGCATGGATGCATGCCTGATTTACAGTTTGATGATTGCATTCTCGCAAGGTTACAACATCAAATGCTTGCAATTATATTCAAAATGCTGTGGTCACGATAGTCAGTTGTTTCATATGTTATGATGCTGACTGATTGATTAGCAAGCTTGGCTTTCAGGGCAGCAAAGTGACAAGCAAATAATTTTGCCTAACACAATTGACACTTGGAATAACACCACCTTCTTTACAGTGTTTTAATATGAATGGCCTCATTTTGTCAATTTTGTGTAGGGAATGTCAGACAAAGTGAACATTTTCAAAAAATCAAGGACAAAATCATCTTGTACCTCTTTCAACAAAGTTATGATTGTCTTCTGTTTCAGTTGAGCCGACTTTTTTGAAAACTTTTTTGTCAAATGAGTTTTTGATTTGAATGTGATCTTTGATTGTGTCAACCCTAAAAATGTCAACACTATGAAGACAGAATTTGCAAAATAATATTTTCTTCTGCATAAAAGTCATCAGGAAATTCCTCTACTCTGGCTTTAGCACAAATTTTAGATACTGGGGTCATTTTCTTTTTTTTTTTTTTTTTTTTTTTTTTTTTGAGAGGAGCAGGCACAACATTTAAGGTTGATTCAGTATATTGACTTGATTCAGTCATCTTGGCATGGCAATTTGTTGTTTATTCATACAACTCGTTTACATTACAAAATATAAATAAAATATTAAAAAATAATCATTGACAGTTAATGTTATTAAAGGATTTTTGTTCAATTTAAATTTGTTTACAATGGTGAAGCACTGAAGATGATGCAATTATTAATCTGGGAGAATCGTTATGTGACAGTAAGCTTAGACAAGCCAGTTGTTTCATAGAATGGTGTTTTTAGAGAATTGTTTTTTCTTTATTTCAAAATTGTATGGTAGGTATGTGATAGCATTTACTTTTTCATATTCATAAAACAAACTTACAAGTTATTTAGAATCTTTTACTTGTAAATTGAGTGAGGTCTAAAGGAAATGAATTTGTTAAACTTATTGGTTTGATCTTCATCTCTCTTTCTCTCCCCTCCAATTTTGACATCAACTAGTATCTGTCTTACATTTCCACTTTAGCAATGGATCTAGGTGGCCACAACTAAGCCGTGACCTTCTGCCTTTCATCTCGTATGCAACATACAGTTTTTTAGAAAAGTTATAGAATATTTAAAAATAGACTAGCCAACATATTCTCAAAAAATCAACAACCCACTTTTCTTTTTGTTATGTTAGCATTTTTGTTCTTAATGACTTTTTGGATTTTATAAGGAAAATACCTACAAAGATTTGTAAAAACAAATTTTAAGGAAATAACTATGTTATGTTATTGTTATATTAAAATGTTTAACAAAATCAGAGAGTTATTAAGTTTTGAAAGAATTAAAAAATAAAATCTGAAAAAAATAAATCAAATAATTAATTTGTTATTTATTATTGAAAATTACATTAAAAACTTGTTTAAGATTAACGATTCCACAATTCCACAAAATTTCCCAAATAAATTTAGTTTTCTTAATGGTTCAAATAGATCTTTGTGTCATACTTTATCAAATGCTTTTGTGTAATCTATAAAACATAAGTGTTCATCTTCCAGCATTTGTATTGCTCTGATCATAAATATATCATTTCTTGTTCCATTGTCTTTGACAAAACCACATTGTACTTGCCCTATTTCCAATCTAATTCTACTTTGGTCTATTGATCAGAATTCAGATTAGTAGCTCGTTTATATAACTCATTAAGCTGATTGTCCAATGAAGCTCACATTCATTTGCATCTGTATATTTCATTTATTACTTGTGATCTTGTTGATGCTGAAATCATCTCTATTCATTTCTATTATGATCCCATCTGGTTCTGCTGCTTTGTTCCTGTTCCTCATCTCTATTGTTCTTCAGACTTTCATATTTCCTTCCATATTTCTGTGTATTGTAGGTCTCTCTCTCTCTCTCTCTCTCTCTGATTGTGAAATAGTTGTGAAACGTATTTGCTCCAACTTTGAGTAATTTTTCTTTTCCCTCCTTTGATTTTATACACCATGTTGATGAGCACATCTTTTGTCCTGTTAATTCGTTTATTCTTTTGTGCATACTTACTTTATCTATGATGCTCATCTTTTCTACTTTTGCACACTTTTCATTGAGCTATTCCTCTTTAGCCTGCCTACACACACACACACACACACACACACACACACACACACACACATATATATATATATATGCAGTCCCATGAAACAAATAGCATTTTCACTGTGCTGACATCAACCTAGAAACATGGAAAAATTCACCATCAACTACTCCTGAAAGAAAATTCCCATTTCACCACCATCATTATAAGGACTATTATAGGGATACCATCAGGTCCACATGCGTTGAGGGGATCCAGATCAGAGATGATAGCAGAAACCACGGAAGGAGTTATATACATATCACTCAACAAAGTGTCAGTTCTAAGAGGAAAGTCAGGCAAGGATAATCCAGATTCACAAAAATCACAACAGATCAATTAAAAATTATAAAACACTGCTTAAAATCATTACAATTTCACAACAAAACAGCATTGTTAAAGAAGGGAACAAAGGAGACATTTGACATAATTATAGGGAAACTTGGACAGAGCATAAACATTCACACACACACACACACACACATATAACAAGAACGTTGTTATTGATTGTCTTCTATTTGTTGTCATATTTAGAAGACAGTAGACAGCAGTTGTGATGATGTACATTGTCTGGTGGAATGTGTAGAAAAACAATTGAAATTGAAACAAGATAGCTATCCACTTTCACCTGAAGAACAGCAAGAATTGGTAAGTAATTTAAATATTTTCTCTTAACATACAATCACCAAAATGTGTTTTCAAATGTAAAATTTTATCTGAATATTTATTGAAAGAAATGTTTGAATTTTGGTCAGCTGATTATGGTAACTCACAACACAATAGAAAGTTTGCTTTATTGTGCTATTATCAAATCATATTCATAGCTTTCCATAAAAGAATGATATTTTCTCAGTAAAAATAAATATGCTAGCATGTGCATATACAAAGAACAATGTTTATCATGTGCTTCGTAAATTATTCTTGACCTGATTTTGCATCCATTATTCTATTCTATGAATGCCTAAATTAGTGATGGAATGATACCCAATATTTTTACAGATTCTGGTTCAATTCACGATACAGTTCTACATTTACAATTCTGATATGATTAAAATTAATTATTTTCAGGCTTTACAGTTGGTTTGGGAAATTTAATGAACAAATTACATTTATTAATAAAACATTTAGTAGAAATAGTTAGATATCCTTTTTATTTAAAAAATTGGATAAGAGTTTAAACAGTAAAGAGAACAATTTCTTTACATAAATCACTTAAGTACCTCGCTACAGTTGACATATTACTTTACTTTTGTTATCATCAGGAATCTTAAAAAAAACTTCCAAACTACACTTTTCTACTTAGCATTAGATATATTTGCCATAATTGGGGTCTGAAAATAATAAACATTGATTAAAATTTAAATAACTTTTAAATATGTTAGATAAAAAATGTTTCTCGTTTTTTAATGTGTACAATTTGCAAAGATTCAACTAATAATGGTTTGCTATTAATTGTAAAATAAAAAAAAGCATCTATTTTTAGTCCACCATTTAAGCTTTAACTAGCTAAGGAGCCTTCTAAATATTATGCAATCTCCTTAAAATGTGGAATTTTTCAATTTCCATTCATTGAAAAATTCCATATTTCCAAATTTAGAGATGACAATTCAATTTCAGCATGCACTTCAAAAATAAGAGACACCCTCCTAATATATATATATATATATATATATTGCAACAATAAGCAGAAAGGCCTTATCTTATGTATTTAACACATGCATATATTTTGATAAAGTACAAGAAGTACCTTAAACCTGAAAGACAGTGAATAAAAAATAAATGTAAGTTTTAAATTTGCTTACAGACGTTTAATAAGAATTAAATATGAATTATCACAGCAACTTAATAAATAAATAATAAAGGATCTTCAATCTTATCTAAAAAATTCAATCACTAATAAGTTTTACTGCCTAAAATAAATTTCTCACAACTAAAAAAATTAATAATTTTTAAAAAGAATCAAAAAGTGTTTCATTTTTGTTAAAAGAAAAAAAAGAGTAAAAGTGCAACAACACAGTAAAAGCATATTCCTTGATTTTTTTTAAAGAGATATAAACAATTTTAGCAGACTTTACAATAAATTTTTTAAAATATTAGGAATTTGAAAGCTAAATAATGCAACTTGATCATTTTATAAGGTATGAGATTCAACTGTTACAAAGCATTAAAATAAAGTATGAATAAAATAAATAGCTTCACACCAGATAAAAATACTCATTTTTAACTTTTTTATACACCTCTACTTATAAAACTTGCATTTCATTTGGCTTCAAGATGGAGTAAATGAGAAAAAAATTCAAAATATTTTAAATGCCATAATAATTTAACACAGTTAAAGTTCAATTATGCCAGAGAAAAATATTAGTAAAATAAAGCTAAATACAACTTTTGATGGAAATTAAATTTTAGGTTTTTTAATACAAACTTTTGTGTGAAAACGTTTTTTTTAAGGAAACTTCAAATAAAAGTTTGTTTATTTTTTAAGTAAATAAAGATGAAAATTCATTTTGAATACTATAAAATTTTAAGAAATACATGAATTTCGTAGAAACAAATTTAAGTTCCTTAAAAAGAATGTTTACTTTTTTAAGTCTTGGTTACTTAAAAGAAGACCTATTTTTGTTTATATAGTATGCTACGTAAACAAAAATAAATCTTTTCAATAACCGAGGCTAAAAAATGATTTTATGGATTAAAACTATTATAAAAACAAAATGTTGTAATTTAACTGCCTCATCACAAGGTCAACTTTTTATGTGAAGAAATCAAATGGGACACTTTAGCATATCTGTTCAAAGCATCACTGTCATCTATGCACTCCCAATGATATCTTCAGGGTATCATGTGAGGCATTCTTGGAAATAGTCCTGAGTGTACCTAATCACAAAAGGGACAATTTGAGCTTCTGCTTCTCCAATTCTCCAATTTATCCTGTCAGGTCTTCGTACCTCTATATTTTCACCTGCTTCATTTTCATGGTATTCTTATCCCAAGATACTGCAATGTCTATTGATATATTCATGGCTGCTCTTGTGCACTAATGTAATATCAGTATGATTGCTCTCCAAGCACTTGTCAATCAAGATGGCTCACATGAATTTCACTTGCTCATTCTTGGTTACTGATAGTGGTGAATACCACTATCAGTGCACACTTAAGGTACCCCACAGTTTCCAGTGTATTCTGAGAGTCATGGCTTTGCCTGTACTCTTTTTGTGTGTCAGCTAAATGCAGCCACTGACAGTGTGTTGCATACATTCAGTAGATTTGCCACACAGCCTGTTTTGATGGAATTTGTTCTTAAAGTCTGCCCTTGCACTGCACAGAGCATCCTTTCAGCATCTCTTGGGTTTCTTGTGCAAATGCACTATTCAAGCCTTTTTCCTTCCATGCATTGACTTTCTCATCTGTAGTGAACGAGATAATCAAGTACCCCGGAAAAAAGTTCGTGTTTTGTGTGCAATCTGCCGGGGAGGGATTGCCAAAAAGTAGTCAGCAAAACTCTTATAGCGACTTACCTCGTCAACCCAAGCGACAGCGCATCGCGTGTATACTGTGACGAAAAAAGAAACAAGTCCGTCGCAGGAGTCGCTATAAGAGTATATTAATATGCAAATTATGGAGCATCCTATCCCAGCTGTTGACGAATGGAAAAAATAGGTTCTGCCGATAAAAGCAGTTGGTGTTTTCGACTCGGGGAAGGAAAATTCGGGCATTTTTGGCTACAGCGTTCGTGAGTTATTTTCCTGACGCGTTACAAGTGATTTTCTTTCTTTGTGTTGTGAAAGCCACAAATTTGCTTTGAGAATGCTTACTCTTCAAGCTACTTCGGCATTTACTTTGTCTCTCGCAAGATGGCGGAAAGACCGTTCGATATAAAACTGATCCCCGAATTCAGTGGTGTACTAGTGGACAGTCTGTGGTTGAATGGATCGAAAAGGTGGAACTGGTCTGCGAATTATGCGAGATATCGAAGATTGATTGGATTCTTCCTCTGCGATTGAATGGCGGTGCCCTTGCTGTGTATAGGCAGCTGAGTAAAGAACAGAAAAGTGACATTGAGCAAATAAAGCACGCTCTACTAACCGCATTTGGAACTGACCGGTTCGTGGCCTACAACCAATTCCAGGCACGGCGTCTGCGACCTGGCGAGACAGTAGACGTATATTTGGCAGAATTAAAGAAGCTTGCCGTTCCAATCGCACCGCTTCCTGAAGAATGGATGACATGTGCCTTCGTTTCTGGATTGCCCAGTCATGTTAAGCAGATACTCCGTGCTGTCATGATCGACGAAAAACAGGCTGATGAACCAGTGGCCGCAGTTATTCAACCAATTGAAGTCAAAGAAGGTCTGACCCCAGCCATTCATCACCATGGCGTTGCCACCTGCTATCGGTGCTCTGGGCGAATCATTTTGCCAGAGACTGCCGCTATCAACGCTTGAAGAAATGCTTGGCGAATTCGGCGCGAAAGGCACGTCTCGATCTACTGATCTTTCAATGTCATAAAGTAGGTCATATTGCCTCTAAGTGCCGGGAAATGGAATGGGGACGCGACGTCAACACCGGTCTCTTCCCGCACCGAGCATGAAAGTGGCGCTCCCTGTGATTAAGGTATGCATCAATGGAATAAGCGTGCCGCTTTAATAGATTCGGGCTGCTCTCGGTCACTCACCAACAGTTCGATTTGCCGACAGTGGAGCAGACAAAAGATGGACGTACTAACGGCTGATGGAAAGGCTCTCAGAAGCCGGGGAGTTGGAAACATCAAACTCAGTATTAACAACGGTGACCCTGTCACAGTCAGTGTGTTGGTCGTGGACAGCGCGTTATTTGGTTTCGATCTGCTCCTTGGGATGGACATTATTAAAGAGTTGGGCGGCGTAGGCATTACAGAGGCAGGCGAAGTCAAGTTTTCTGATCCGCCCATCTGTGCTACTTTGAAGATCAACAAGCCCGACTTTAGCGCAGAGTTCAACCAAAGGACGAAGACATGGACAGCATTTTGGAAATGGTCAGAAAATAACCCACCAGAAAAGCTCCAGAACCGAGTGTCAGAATATTGGGTGCCCGAACGCGTCAAGGAAGAATACCAGCGCGAATTGCAGGTGTGGCTGGATAACGGATGGCTGACTCTGTATCCCAAGGAAGAGCTTGGTCCTCAAGAGGCCTCATCCGTTGATGGCCGTGGTACAAAAAGAACAAGGGGAAAGGTGCGCCCTGTACTAGATTATAGAGAACTGAACGAACATGTAGACATACACAACTCATGCTGATGTGTGTGCGCAAAAAATTGAGAGAATGGCGAACGAAGGGATCCAATGTCTCTGTGATTGACCTTGAAAAGGCCTACTTGCAGGTGGCGTGCCGGTCACTGTGGCCTTTTCAGACGGTGATCCTTAATGGGACGAGGTACTGCTTAACCCGAATGGGATTCGGACTCAATGTGGCGCCGGCCATCATGAAAGCCATCGTGGATGGTGTGCTATCAGGATGAGACAATTCGTCAAGCGACGTCAGCCTACATTAGCGACATCTATATCAACGAAACCTTAGTACCTGCTTCACAGGTGAGAAAGCATCTTGCTGACTTTGGGCTCAAATGTAAAAACCCAGAACGACTGGAGGATGGTGCTCGGCTTGCAGGTCTGGGGGCACAACATGCTTTACTGGAAACGTGGGCGAGCTCCCGGACATTCCCAAACACATGACCCGGCCATGGCGTGTTTTCGTTATGTGGAAAGCTGGTGGGACATTTCCCATGGGCGGGTGGATCCGCATTGCAACTGCATTTATTAAACGTATGGTGACTGCTGTCACTTCCGGCTGGGATGACACAACAAATGATGCTCCCCTTAGACACATGATAGCGGAAGTCATTACTAGAGTGCGTCAAGATGACCCCATACGTGGTAAATGGTGCGTTGACGGATGTGAATTTAACGTCTGGGTCGACGCGAGCTCCCTTGCAACAGGAGTGTCTCTTGAAGTAGGTGACACTGTCGTGGAAGATGCGTGTTGGTTGCGTCGAGAAGGATATGCAACATATCAACCTGTCAGAATTAGACGCCGTTATCAGGGGAGTCACCGCGTCCCTTCAATGGAATGCAAAGGTATTGCATTTATTCACGGATTTCGCATGCGTGTATAAGTGGATAGCAGACACTCTTACGGGGAAGGCTAGGATACATTAAAAAGAGCGAGATGCTCATTCAAGGAGGCTAGACACACTGGGAAAGTTGGTAAGTGAATACCACTTATCAGCAGACATACAGCTGGTCAGATCACAGCAGAACAAGGCCAATACTTTAACAAGGGTACCCCAAAAATGGCTTGACGCTATTAAGAAAGAGGTAGAGCCAATAGGACATGTCTGTGTAACATCAGCGAGCAACTATAACTCAGATTTACTAAAATCTATGCATTGCCAAAGCGGACATCCCGATTGTAAAACGGACCTTATATTTCGTGAGGCAGATTTATCCCTCCGTATCCAAAGCTGCTGTCAGGGCAGTGGTCAGAGGATGCAAGGAGTGTCAGTCCATCGTCCCAGCACCTGTGCAATGGCAAAAAGGACAAGTGAGTGTAAGAAAGGTGTGGCACCGTGTTGAAATGGACATCACCCATTATAACGGACATCACTATTTAACCCTGATTGACTGTGGCCCAACCCAGTTCACTATTTGGCGGCGTCTGCGTCGACAGGATTCCACAAGCGTCATTGACCACCTGGGGTCATTGTTCTTTGAACGTGGACCTCCGACGGAACTCCTCACTGACAACGACACTGCATTCCACAGTGGACTATTCAAAGATTTTGTGGCTTCATGGGAGTACACCTCAGATTTTCGCAGCGTATGTCTCATCAGGGGAATGGCATAATCGAGCGATGTCATCGAGACATCAAAGAATCGCTGCTAGGGAAGCAGTGTTCCCATAATGGAGGCGGTGTATTGGTACAATGTTACTCCGAGAGACAATAATGTATCGCCCTCAACCGCGCCAGCCAACATGATTTATCAGTACAAAAAAAAAAACGAGGCATTGGTTAATGCGTTCAACTGAACAGATCGCATGTGGGTGAAATCTCCAAATAGCCGGTGTACAACCTGGTACCGGGTGGGGCATGTCACTGGACTAAGTAACTCGCGTTCTGTGCTGGTTGATGGCATACCAAGACACATAAAGGACTTGCGTCACTATGTAGTTACAGATACGTCAACAAGTGACACTAGCAGTGAGGGCTCAGAAAGTGAACAAATAATTACCATCGGAGGTAGGGCTAACACCTCTTCAGATGGTGAAGACTCTGCGCATGAGGTTGTCAGATCAGAAGAAACCTCAGAATATAACACACAATCTCCTCCAACAGTCGCCCCGCTCCGGAGAAGCTTAAGAATAAAGAGGCCCGCCCATGAGTGTCACTTATGTGACAGGGAAGGGTGTAGTGAACGAGATAATCAAGTACCCCGGAAAAAAGTTCGTGTTTTGTGTGCAATCTGCTGGGGAGGGATTGCCAAAAAGTAGTCAGCAAAACTCTTATAGCGACTTACCTCGTCAACCCAAGCGACAGCGCATCGCGTGTATACTGTGACGAAAAAAGAAACAAGTCCGTCGCAGGAGTCGCTATAAGAGTATATTAATATGCAAATTATGGAGCATCCTATCCCAGCTGTTGACGAATGGAAAAAATAGGTTCTGCCGATAAAAGCAGTTGGTGTTTTCGACTCGGGGAAGGAAAATTCGGGCATTTTTGGCTACGGCGTTCGTGAGTTATTTTCCTGATGCATTACAAGTGATTTTCTGTCTTTGTGTTGTGAAAGCCACAAATTTGCTTTGAGAACGCTTACCCTTCATCATCATAAATCCTCTTCCTATAATTCACCATCCTTTCTCTCCCCACAATCACCTTTTCATTCAGTGCACCTTTTAGTATCCACTCCTGACTCGTCCTTAAGTACTCATGCAATGACTTACATTCTGATATTACACACTCTTCTACTCCTATCAAACGTTATTATTTTAAGTAGTAGTTAAGCTTAATAATATTTAAAATTGTAATTGATAATTAAAGACTTGTCATTCTATAAAAGTTGATTGGTTAACTAACTCTTAGGTTTTACCATATGTCTGATTGGTCCATTTCCTTATTTTCCACCCCAAAGAATGGGGAAAAGTTGACTGAAGCAAACCTCAACAGTAAAATGCAAATAAGGTAAAAATAAAGAAAACAAAATAAGGAGAATAATGAAAAAATCTTTTCTGCCAGTATGGTTTGAACATTTTATTAATTTTTTTTTTCGCTTCACCTTAAAATGTTATTTCAAATAAATAATTTATATTTGAAGTATTTATATTTTTTTATATTCTTTCATCATGCAGATCGCTGTTCTTCTGCAGGAAGTAAACCATATTCAGCCACATATCAAAGATCAGATAAATAATCCTTCTTTGGTAAGTACATATATGAGCTCTTTGAAAAGACCTAACATTTAAATCTCTGCTACCATATTGTATGGTTCTCAGCATCTAAACAAAACCAGAATCTTACCACTGTCAAACATATCCGTCAAAGAGTAGTAATTTAGTGGGCCTAATTTCACAGGCTGTTACTCCTGACTATGGAGAATGTTAAAAACCATGTAGCCTTGTACCAGATTAAGTTTTGTAAATATCTCTATTTCTACCTCTGACAATCATCATACAAGTTATTAATCCTTATTTTATATTTGATAATTCCTTGTTTGTTTCTGTTATATCTAAAATAGCATGGGATTTTTATTGGAATATTGTAATAGTAAATGAAAGTAATAAAATTCTTGAAAATTCTCTTACTTTTGATGTTGCTTTTTATATATATATATATATATATATATATATATATATATATATATATATATATATACGCATTACAGTTCAAACGTTTGAGGCCACCCCTGGTAATTTTTCAATTTGTTCAAAAGTAGTTGTTTTGTACTTTAAACAAGAGAAAATTATACATGGTAAAAAAAAGTTTTATTAGAAATTTTATTATGACAAAAAGAAAAAAAGCATTTCATAATTAAATTTTGCTCTCATCAAAATATCCTCCTTTAGCCTTGATTACTGCAGCACAGACTTTTGGCATTCATTGCAAAAGTTTCTCAAAGTATAAGTTTGATAATTGATTCCATTCTTTTTTCAATGACTCTAAGAGCTCTTTTTAATTTTTTTTTCACTCTTCTGTCATGTTCATCCCATACTAATTCTGGGGTGGATTCAAACTTTTGAACTGCATTCTGTATATATATATATATATATATATATATATATATATATATATATATATATATATATACTTCATAATTTTCTTAGAGGTACAGAACTTTATTATGGAAATAAAAAAGGTAGGACCAATTTTACCCTTCATGATAAAAAAAAAGACCCAGCCGACCAGTTTTCCTTACTTAATGATATGCATCCAGAATTAAGTTATACAATGGGAATTGAAACTAATTCAACTTTATCTTTTTTGGATGTTTTGGTAGCTACAACTATATCTGGTTACATCACATCGATCACAAACTAACTTTTACTGGATTATATATTTGTTGGGATGCATTCTGTCCTAACAAAGGTAAAGAAAATTTAATTAGTACCCTAACACATAGAGCTTTAATGATTTGCTCAAAATCTAAATTAAATGAAGAGTTAAAACAATTACCAAAACTTTAGTTAATAATGGGTACCCATTGGATGTAATTAAGTTGGTCATGAATAAGAAAATTTCTAATTTTTCGAAACTTAAACCAAGTACGGCTACTAATTGCCCTATTTATTTGCGTTTGCCTTGGTTGGGTACGTGTTGTCTTTTTTACCAAGTCTGCATGGATGTCTACTCGAAAGGATGTTCTACCTCCCCACCATATTAACAATGTGATTTACCAGTTCAGATCTAGTTGCAAAGCTGACTACATAGGTAGAACTACCCTACGGCTAGACATGAGAGTGCATCAACACGTACCTAAGAAAATTAGAAATAGTATATTCCAATTGGGTGACATGGTCAACAGCATATATAGTTCTGTCATCATGGAGCATCTTATAAATAGTCCAAATTGTGCTATCAATTTCAGCATGAACTCATTCATCATCCTGAGTCATGCTCACTCATTCTTACATTTAAAGACATTAGAAACAATCTATGTCAAGTCCAGACAGCCTTCCTTCTGTAAACAGAGGGAATGTCTGTTAAGGCTGGACATTATTTCAATTTGATTGTTCTGCCTTTAATACATTACATTTCTTTTATATTTTATATTGTGACATTTATTCCCTCGATTTCAGCTCTGTTGAGTGAGAGCGAAACCAGTCAGGTAGTTCTTTTTTCTTTTTTTTTTTAATCATGAAACGTAAAATTAGTCTTACCTTTTTTTATTTCTATAATATGTATGCGTTTGTGTGTGTGTATATAAATGTTTAGTTAAACTTTTTTATTTACCTGAAATTAAAAGCTTAAATAATAATTATAAAAAAATAATAATTACAAAAAGAGTATCTAATAATTACGTTGAGAATATTGAACTCACTATAAAGTCATTGCTAAATTTTTATCACTGATTTTATAAGTACAAGGATGAAAGTAATGGGTCTATCGCCTCTGAGTGTTGACTTCAATGTTCACTTTTATATTTACATACGCTCTATCACTGATATTGAGCAATTTATTCCATAAAAATAGCACACCTTAAAACTATATTTCTTCATAAGGATATATATTTAAAAAAATTTTTTATATATCAAGAACAATATTGGTGAAAAATCCTTTGGAACTTTATCAGTCTGATGAAGTACTAAAGGACAAAATGTATCACAAAAAAACTTTTTCCACTTTGTCATACATTTATCATATATATATATATATATATATATATATATATATATATATGATATTCCTTATTATTATATTATTATACAGATTAAAATATTTCTCTAAAATGTTCTCTTTTATTTTACTGACAAAAATTAAATAATTTTAAATATATAAATAATCTGCAGCAGGAAGACATCACTGTCTACAGAATCCTCAACAGACTTTTCTTTTCATAATGTATTTATTATTATATTTGTTTTGCTATCTTAATACAAGTTGTCCTGAAATGTTCTTGACCAACCACAAGGGATTTAAAAAAAATCCAATGTTCAGTCAGATTTGGGGACTTGGGTCAGGTTCACCTTCCTCCTTGAGAACCTTTCATATAAATGTTTAATTTGTCAAAGAGAGTAACAGTTATCCAAATCTACTAATCTAAGACTATTTAACAATCATCACTTTACTGAATTTTACAATTATTTCATTATAGATGCTGGAAATTATATTTCCACACATAGAAGATAAAAAATATAGCAAAAAAATTCCATATGTAGATTTTTCTATCATCCTTAAGTGTAACTTTGGTAAAATTTGGCCATGTTAATATTATAAATTTTAATTTTTTGATCTTATTTTCAGATTAAATTTTCTATAATATTATTTTAATTCAATTCAAAGATCAGCATAGAATAATACTTTTATTGTATTGTCATTAGGTTTATCTCGAAAGAGAATAAATCAAATTTTAAAAATATTCTACCCAATCATATTTTGGCTTCAATAAACAATCTGAAGAATCTAGTAAATAACATTTACAACTAGATTTATTAAAAAAAGATAGTTAAGAGCAGCAAAGCTATTATATTTAGATGAGGATGAGATATGCAATTCCTCCCCACTACAAAAGTAATTTTTTTTATTAGTTGCTTATATTTTCTTCTATTTCTCTATATATCTATCTTATTCACTATTCACTCATCTTTAAACATATTTAATATTTTTTACATATCTTGATCATGTTTTAAAAAAAGATTATTGTTTATTTAAAGCTGAAAAAGCAATGGTATAAAACCTTAGTGTATGAAAAAACAATTTTCTTGAGCCAACATTTGCTCTTTGCCCATTCTCTGGATATAATGCAATGTGGTGCAAAATCCTACACAACTACTATGCAGAAACATCAAATTATTTCTTTCTTTTTAGAAGAAACTTTTCCTTTCAAATATCCAGAATGCACTTGACAAGCATTTCTTCGATTATAGCTTTTGAATATTATGACTAAGGATCATAACAAAAAACACAAAAAAAGTAATTTGAAACTATGTGACTCTTATATAATGCATACATTATATAACAGGTAATACAGCAAAGGTTCACTTACATTAATTTTTACAAAGAAAACATATTTAAATTTGATAAAAATCCATCCTGATCATCAGTTTTTAAATTGGTTGCTTTAATTAAGTTCATTTGCATCTATTCTTTTTTTCAGAGTGAAATACAGAAAAGAAAATTAAGCTCTTCCTTCCATCAGTCTGTGGTTCAAGCTTGTGAGAAGTTACTCCTGTACTACTGTGATAAGGCTCAAGGTGAATTTCTATAATGATATATTGTCTATTATCAGCAAGTAGTATAAAGCTTGGTCCATGGTTGGCTAATTTAATCATAGTTAAATTGAAGTGTAAAAAAGGTAAGTGTGTGTATGTTTGTTCAGACAATGGACTTGACATGCATATATATATATATATATATATATATATATATATATATATATATATATATTAAGTACCAGTGACTATCTTTGTTTATTATTCTATCTTTAATAATATTTTTCCTTATATGTTAAAAATTTGAAGTGGCAAAAGAGAAAGTCACTTACTGAGAAAAAGGGCACATGTGTTCTGTATGATATGCTGAAAACATAATAACCAAATCAGAAACAAGACAGTCGCAGCTGTTGATATAAATGCTTCTCAGATATACAATATTGTTTGTACCCTCCAACCATTGACCAATAAAAAACTTGTTCAGTCAATAAAAGTGGTTGGCATTTGCGAATTGGTGTAGTTTATTTTTCTATCTACATATGTCAGCTTGTGAGTAACTGTTGTATTGTGCATTGGATTTCTAATCATTTACATGTATTGGGATTTATGACATTTTGGACCTGTGATTTGTGATTTCAACATTTCTTTCTTCCCCTGGATCTTTGAATTTTGAATTGCAGTTTGTTTATTTCATTTCAGAATTGAGCTGCCATATCAATTTTTGAACAAGCTATTTCAGCAACATGGCAGATGTCAAATTAGATATGAAATTGATTCTTGAATTTGACAGCAGTGGATCAATAGTAGAATGGGTTGAAAAATTTGAATTGGTATGCAACCTCTGTGGTGTGAAGTCACTTGAGACGATCATTCCTCTTCCAGTGACTAGAGGAGCATTTGCAGTGTATCAGCAACTGACCAAGGAAGAGAGAGAAGATGCATCACAAATTACTGATGTGCTATACACTGCTTTTGCTGCAGTCAGTTTCTCTGCATACAAGCAGTTCAAAGCTATGCCCAGGTGAAACTGTAGATGTTTACCTGTCCGATTTGAGAAAGTTGGTGGTACTGTTATCAATATAGATATTCTGGTCATGGAGAGCCGATTTTTAGGATTCAACCTGCTCCTCGAGATGGATGGCACTTAGAAGTTGGCTGGTGTTCACATTACAAAAATAGTTTGTTAATCCCCATATTTGTGCAGCCATGAATGTAAATCAGCCTGACTTTACCATGGAATTCGACCAATATACCAGGATCCGGACAGCATCATGGAAGTGGTTGGATGGACACTTACTGGAATATCTAAAACACCGGGTATCTGAGTACCCTGTGTCTAAGCAGGCAAGGAGTGAATATCAGTGTGAACTACAGGCATGGATAGACAATGGGTGGCTGATACCTTACCCTGAAAAAGAACTCTTTCCCCCAAGCGGCCTGATCCCATTAATGGCAATAGTTTGCAAAAATAAAGGAAATGTTTCACCAGCTAACATGAAAGCCATTGTGAATACTGTTCTGGCAAAAAATGAGTCCATTTTCCAGGCCACTTCAGTCTATATTGATGACATCTATGTCAATGAAGATGTGATGTCTGCTACACATCTCACTGATTTTGGATTGACATGCAAAGACCCAGAACAATTTGAGGACAATACCCAAGTGCTTGGCTTGCAAGTTTGCTGGGAGCAGAACACTTTGTATTGGAAGCAGTAGAGTGAAGTACCAAAAGGATCCAAAGTTTTGACTTGGCAAAAAAATGTTTTCACAATGTGAAATATTAATAGGACACTTTCCTGTTTGTGGTTGGCTCCATATTGCAACCACCTTCATCAAATGCAGAGCAACTGAGCCAGGAGACTCCCCCCACTCAACAACATAATTATGGACGTCATTACAAGAGTACTGCAGGACAACCCTGTGCAAGGCAAGTGGTGTGTCAATGGACATGATTTTGAAGTATGGGTTGATGCAAGCTTCCTTGCAACTGGAGGGTCCCTTGAGTTAAATTAGGATGTAGTAGATGATGCATGCTAGTTGCATCCTGGAAAGGATATTCAGTATAGCTGAGTTGGATGCTGTATTTAGGGGTGTTAACGTAGCACTTCAACAGAAGGCAAAAAAAGTTGTAATTATTCACAGACTCTGCATATGTTCATGGATGGATATCTGACATTTTCACCAGAAAGGCCAAAATACACACAAAGGCCTCAAGTGAGATTCTCATTCAGAGGAGGCTCGACCTCTTGGAAAAACTGGTCAGTAAATATGACTTATTGGTGGACATAAAGCTGGTGAAATCCAACCAAAACTGAACAGGCAGGCTGATGTGGATACTGCAGAGATGGCTTGACACAGTGAGGAAGAAGACAGAACTCATGAAACTTTCTGTGCAGCATCAGTGAGCAAATGCAGTTCAAACAAGATAAGGTTGGTACACTGTCAAAGTGGGCATCCTGGGATTAAAAGGACCCTATACTTCGCAAGGCAGATTGATCCAGCAGTGTCCAAGGCAGTGGTTAGAGCCATAGTCAGATAATGTAGAGAGTGTCAGTTCATTGACCCATCACCAATACAATGGCCAAGAAGAAAATTAGATGTAAGAGATGTGCAGATCCAGCTTGGGATGGACATCACTCATCATGATGGTAAACATTACCTGATGCTGATTAACTGTACACCCACACAATTCACAATTTGATGACAATTACATCAACAAGATTCAGCCAGCATCATCAACCATTTAAAGGCCCTATTTTTTGGACAGGAACTTCATGCTGAAATTCTCACTGACAATGACACTGCTTTCCATAGTAAACCATTCAAGGAGATTTTAGACAGGTGGGAAATCCATATCTGTTTCCACTGCATGCACATCCCCCCTCCGGTAACAGGATAGCTGAACATTGCCACCAAAGTGTAAAGCAAATTGCTGCAGTGAAACAATGCTCAGTGACAGAAACCATATATTGGTACAACATTACACACAAGGATGATGTGTCACTTTCCACTATGCCTGCCAATGGGATTTACCATTATAGAGTCCAGGTACAAGTTATTGATAAAATATCTCTACCAAAGCAAGAATATGGACAATTGACATATCGATTAAGGGACTGTGTGTAGGTAAAAAACCCTCAAAACCGATGTACAACTCAATATCAAGTGGGATGTGTCATAGGGATTAGAAGCCTGCACATGATTTTTGTTGATGGGATGCCACACCATGTGAGGGATCTGTGCCCCTTTGTCAGTTCAAACACATCAACAAGTGATGTCAACAGCGAGTACTCTAATGATGAGTGACTGGTCAAAATAAAGGATGCATCAAGTATGTCTTTGGAAGAAAACTACGCTCAGCCTAGTGGTAATATGTCTGATGTCTCTTTGTGAGGCAATTTATCGGGAGAGGATATTGCAGTCCTTTGAGAAGAAGTACAAGGCTTAAGAGACCCATCCCTGGTTGTCACCAGTGTGATCATGAGATGAGGAGGCGTTGAGTGTGGCGAAAAAGAAAGTCACTTACCGAGCAAAAGGGCACGTGTGTTCTATATGATATGCCAAAAACAAAATAACCAAAATTAGAAACAAGTCAATCACAGGTGTTGCCATAAATGCATCTCAGATATGCTAATATTGTTTGTCCTCACCAACCTTCCACCAATGAAAAATTGTTCCATTGATAAAAGTGGTTGGTGTTGGCAAATTGGTGTAGTTTTTTTTTTTTCTGGCTATGTCTATTTGCAAGTGACTGTTGCATTGTGCATTCGATTTCAGGCCATTTTTGTATATTGGGATTTTTACATTGGACGTGTGATTCATGATTTTAACCTTTCTTTCTTCTCCTGGATCTTCAAGTCTGGACTTGTGATTTGTTTATTTTGTTTTGGAATTGAGTTGCCACATCAGTTTTTGAACAAGTAAACTTTGTAATTCTATATATAAGGGTATATACAAAATTTTTCTGGTATACAATTTTTTTAATCTATGAACTAAAAACACTAAAAATATTCTGGACACTTTTGCAGACAATCTGTTTAAAAAATATTAATATTACTATATCTACAATTTCTCATGTAATAATTGTCAAACTGATCTCATTAATCTTTGATGGTTATTTTAATCTTTATAAATACTCCAGTCTTGTAACAAACTAGCAAGGAAAGTACATCCTATTTTATTTCTGTGAAAGGAGAATGTGTTTTTGTTGTTGATGTTGTTTTCCAAAGCAGTATTTGTAATTCTATTTAATCATATATGCTTTTCTCTTTGCGCATGAATAACTGAAATGATTTTTATATAAATTTCCAGTTTTGAATGAAAGAGGAATATTTTCTGGAACTGCTAATATCTGTCGACTTCGAACACAGCTCGCCATGCATGCTGAAAAAATGTATGAATTTTTAGTTTTTATTTCATTTTTCTTTTATAAGATGGCCTAAGTGATTTATTTATATTAAATACAAATATTAATTAATCCTAAAAGATAAGGGCAAAATATGTGTGGTTTTAAGGCTCCAAGAATAATAAACTTACATGGTAATAGTAATGGTAATATTAGCTATTTCCTTTTGTGAAAATAGTCAGCATTCATTAACCAAGCAACCAATGCTATATTTTGTTGAAGTTTATAAAATCTTTCTATTAAAACATTTTTCAGAAAAATAGGTTTCTCAAGACCACTGTTATCATTCTTTCCAGTATTGGTGGGGGTGTTTTTCCTAGTGTAGAATGTAAAATTCTTTATTATGTCATTATTTTTGCTTCAAGTTACATACTTTATTCTTTTTAGTTGTTGCTGCTTTTGAAAGTCCTCAAGTAATGTATTTATGTTATTTAGTACAGTTCTTTGTGATTATGTAGTGCTAGTTCACAAGGTTCGAAGAAGGATGACCTCACTAAGACCTACAGGCTTCATTCACTGAAAGCCATTTTTAATCATTGACCTGAGAAAGCAGTTTATATGTAGCTGCCACTTTAGATATTTCTGAAGGAGATTGGGACTATGCATGACATCCATATGAAAATCTGTATCTGATGAGGCTATTTAAGAACACAAATTCTTAGGCTAATCATTTGGTTTTGTAGCAAAACTACCCTAACTCTAACCCTAACCATATTCTATATTCGATTTCCTTATCTCCTATACTACATTATTTTAACTGATCCATACACTGAGTTATTTGAAATGTTGAGTTTTTATTAATTCAACATTCTGAATTTTTATGATGAGTTCAGTATTGATGCCATCATTTGTTTCATTACAATTACAGATGATAGTTTCTGTTTTGGAAAAGATTATCTTGAGCCCTATTTCTTGAAACACATGGAAGAAAATATGGAATCTAACAAAAAGATGGTTCAGGTCACCTGAAAATTATTTTATTTTTAATCTTCCTCTTGATGATAGGATAAAAATGTACTTATTTCTTTCTAATTATTCCTTTATGTGAAGAGTCTATGTGTGTATGGCTTCCCTTCTTCTCAATGGACTTAGCAACAATTTCATTGTCTATATACTATTAACATGTGACAAGTGATAAAATTATACTTAATATTGTTGATTCTTTAAAATAAACCATTTCAAATTAACAACTTTGTTGAATTTCATGCATAGAAATATTGGTAAAATTTGGATAAACAAATGTGGTGACATGTCTTCACACTTCTTAAATAAGGTCATCAAGAATACAATTTCTAGGAAATAATAATAAAAATAGCTATCAAATAATATTAGATTTCATGATGCAAGTTAATATTTTTTAAATAAAATTGGTATTAACCAATTGATATTGGTCAAATTTTCCTGATGTGTATGAGTAAAATATATCTTTTCCGTTTTCTATTATCTATCTATTGATAACAACTAAATGCAACATACATTTTTATTTATAAATAAAACCAAAAGATGTAAACAAAAGAAATATATTTGGTAAACACAATATCTTTTATTGATAAATTAGTATTTTGCATATTTATAAATGAACTAATTGACATTGTATAACTTTCATCGGGCTTTCACTAATTAATTTTGGTAAATTTCCTAGTGTTTAATATTATTTATCGCAGTTTTTATTACTTTTCAGAAACATTTCTTGCTTAAATATTGTTTTCTCTGTTATCATATACATCTTTTTTTTATTGATGGACTACAAGTTTTCTCTTAGATTAATATCTGGAAAAGTTGGAAGCAATTCCATTAATTTGATGTCTTTGAAATCTTTTTCATAAGGAGAGAAATAATCAGCTTTACAGAATGTGAACAAACGTTGTATTGTAGGAAATATGCTCTTTTGCTTAAGTTTTCTTGGTTGTTACCAACTCCAAAAAATATCAAGAATTTACATTAATTCTCTATCATCAACTATCAAAGGACCTGTAATTTTACTACTCCCTATAATACTAGCTTGAATCACTCCTGCTCCACAAATGTTTTGTAATTAATTTTAGTTGATTATTTCCATGAAGAATCTAACCTCTAACATAGTCATAATTTTTATCTAATGTAGCTCTACATTTATCACTCAAAATTACTGTTGAGAAATTAGTTTTTATGTACATCACCCATCTTACATATTTCTTTTTCTGGTATTTACTAGTAGTATGGTAATTTTCATGTCTTTAACCAATGTTCTTAAATCGTTGCAACTTTTCTCTCTGTTTGCATCTGTAACATATGCTTCTCTAAGTATTTTCATAGATATAGAGATATAGTAATACTTATATATCTGAAATCTAAAAATAAATATCAATAATTATACTGTTACTTGTATTTATTTACACTTATAGTTACATAATAAAATTTCACAGAACTAAACAAATGATTATAAATATTTCTAATGAAAACAGATATAAGTGAAATTTACATTGTATATTTATCATATAAATACATCCTGAAAATTTACACACATACACATGTCAAATTTTATTACACACCCTTTTTGCTTTTTGCAGTCTTAGTCTCCAGAGAGTCAGACATGTGTTTGTAAGCATGAAAGATCCTATGCTGGATAATTCCCTGGAAAGATCTGAAGTAAGTTACAGGGTAATTTTTTCAAACTGTTGGTTCTTTGCACATTATTTCATGGCATAACAATCATGCAGTTCAAATTAAAAGATAAAATTTAAAAGATAAATTTGCTGTTGTAAAATGTTAGACTTTTCCCTACATTTCACTTTTAAAAAGATAAAAAAAAACTTATTATTTATCAAGCAGTAACCCCAATTAGAATAGAAGGAAATTAAAGAGTAGTGTTTGATATATAAGTGTTATACTCAAAGCCAAATCTCATTGCAATTTATGAACCCTTCTTCATGGTCGGAAACTAGAACGGCCTGCAGGTCATCTCGAGGTCACTGACTGGCAGACATAGTGACAAGTAGTCACATGACAAGCAATTAAGCTTTTTTCGGACAATTGGAAGGCACCACAAACCAAGGATGCAGATGCCTTCTCAATACCTTGAAGTGATATGAATACAACCCCACATGCCACAAAAAAGAGCACTCTCAATCTCATCTCATCAGCGACTTCAACAGTCAATAGCTTCTTCACTCGCCTCATCCCACAAGAATATATCTCCTTGGCAGCCAAGCTGACCTACCACCCACCACTACTACTTTCAGATTTCCCATCTGCACCACTCACATGAAGCTGAAACTTAAATATCATTCTACCATCCTTCTAACTCTTTTTTTGTCTGTACAAACTTCAACCACAAACTACAGAACTCTTTAATGAATGGATTCCCATTTCTGTATTGACTCCTGGTTACCTTTGCGTATATAACTTCCACATTTTTTTTCACAAAATATATATTCAGCCTTACTCTAGTGTTCATCTTTATCCTTGCTTCCATATGTTTGTTACAACATAAGTAAGAAAGTTATCAGTGGAAGATGTGAGTCAAATCACAAAGGTATTATCTTAATTGAGTCACTGGATGCAGATTGCTTAACTTGATAAAGAGTTGAAATGTTACTATAAAATTATAATAATGTTCTCCAAAAATCAAGTCATGATACTTCATCTCATGAGTAGAGAAACATGTTCATTTATCACTTTCAGGTTTTAATTAGTCGGCCTTTCCTTGTTAATTGGTAACTTTATATATGCAATTTATCTAAAAATCTGTGAATACAAAATAATAATTGTTAATTTGCACCCTAATTAGGACACCAGCGTCTTTCACTAAGAAAGCTTGAACAATATTTTATTTACGCATTGATGCAAAATGTCCCTTATTTGACAATTGTCGATGATTTTAATATGTTTTGTTAATAAATGTGTATATTTTTAGTTACTCAGATCTAAAACTGTCCATCAATTTTCATATTTTATATTAAAAAAGGATTTTCTTGACTATGCAATATAAAATCTTCAAAAATAAATGTGGATGAATATATAATTATTGCTTGCTTGTAGCTGATTTAAAAGTTTCCAAATAGTGGTTTTGTATTTGAATTAAATCTCCAGATCAGATACAATTGATATAAGTGATAGTAAACCATTTTTTTTAATCAGAATCACCTTAAGCAAGGCAGTAATGCCACTAAGACACAAGGGGTTACAGGGTGTGGAAGAATTAGGAACAAAAATATTAATGATGCAGAAAGAGAAGAGAGTAATCAGGTGGACAGTAGATAGTGATTGCCATTGCATTTAAATTTTTGCAGATTAATGTTGGCTGTGTTATATTCTGTTGCAATTAGATCTCTTTCTGATTCATTCTGCATGCTGGCCGGATGCAAATGCCATGAAGGCGGAGAATGAAATAACAAAAGTTGTTTTATGCACATAGGCTTCATGCATCACATCCAATCTACAAAACAGACTCTGGCATTGAAAGTAACACTGGCCAATCACAATCGTTCCTACTAGAAAAAGAGATGCCCCTGGGGACTACCAGACCTGCTTAAAAGCAGGTCTCTGAGAATTGAGCAAGCAGTTGCGACCCGGCAGGCCACCGCCCATCACGCAAGGCATTGCTGCTATCACTTTCATGACCTTGCCACCATGACAGCTACAGTTGAAGGCCACTGGCCGTCACACAGGGCACTGCAGCTGCTACTGCTACCATGACCTCATCACCATGACACCACCTTGGTAACCCACTACTGTCACCTCAGCATAACCAACATCAGCAAAATCAGATTCATGACTTCTCCCAACTATTAACACTCGCATCCTCTGCATCAGCAAAGTCAGGTTTGTAACTTCTCCCAATTTCACATGCTTACCCCCTTTTATCATCATAGTTAGATTTTTAGCTTCACTAACCAATCTGGGACGACACCTCAGCAACACACCACAGTCATCTCAGCATAACCAATACATACAAGGCATTCCTTTGCAGTCATCACCATGGCCCCATTCCATAAATCAGACTTATCAACAAACAAGATTGACCCACCTTCAAAACCTCAATCAACCGACATGTACACTGACCATATCCTGTGACCTCAGCCAGGTCAGCACAAGAAATAGGTCAACTTCGGGATTTTCTCTTAACCCTGATCGCCATGCTGACAATACACCAGAAACAGACATTCCACTTATTTTGCGATATCTGTATGACACCATATGCAATAACAATAAAGATTGTTAAAAATCTAATCCTCGTTATTCCTTTCTCTCACAACCAAACGCTTATTATAACAGCTGGAAAGCATGGAGCCAAAAGGGAGTTCCCCAAGTGAGAAGAAACTGTTTGTATAGAATTTATGGCTACATCTAGCCAGCTCAACTGTAAATCGATGAGATCTTGATGCCAGTTTAGTAGTGTTTAAATTCAAAAACTCTAGGTACCATAGCAAAGAGTGTATTTGAACAATTACCATGAAAGTATTTATGGAAATGATATAGAGAGGCAAAATGGTGGGAAAGTGACTGGTGCTGAGCCACTAGATCAGGACCAATAATATTGCAGATTCATCTTTGGATCTTATCAAGGAACTCAAGGTAAATAGCAGAGGCACCAGAAAATTGAATTGGAAAAGAAGAAGTATAAACAGATGTGGCCCTACATACCAATCAATATTAAATCTAAGGTGGAGTAGAACAAAGAATGTGTGATAAAAATGATCTAATAAAGCAGTTTCACTTTGCAGTCTTTACAGTAATTTATACAAAACTTCTTTAACAAAATCTGTCTGATCAAAGGCATTGAATAAATAACATATAACAATTTTTTGCTGTATTCTCTACATTAAAACTCAACATTTTTAGTTGATGATGTCCAACTCTTTATCTATTAATGATAAATCATAATATGGCACTATTTATCTGTACATTAAAGTCCAGTGGAAGAGATTCTTTTTAAGATATTTCAATTGCTTTATAAATTTATAATAAAAATTCCTTGAAACAGTTGAAGGAAAAAATACATTCTCCCACACTTTAATTTATTTGATAATGAACTTTATGTTGACTTGTGTTTAAATTTGGATGTTAGTGTATCTTCATTTATAACTATGTCTCTCCTTATCTCTCTCTCTCTCAGAATGACAAGATAGAAAACTGAGTAATGGCATATTGAGTGATATCCGCACACACACTAGGCTGTGAGAAGGTTGCCAGTCATTTACTTTTAATTGAATAAATGGAATTTTTGTTTATTTTCTTTCAGTTTACGAGGTATGGTTTTCTTAATTAAATCATTATTTTTTTAAGGTCTATAAATATTTTTGTGAGTTAAATCTTGTGTTTTAATTTATTTATTAAAGGTTTAAGACTTAAGAAATCAGAAACTAATATTAAGACCATTGTGTGTCTTAGTGTGTGTGAATCTACATTTGTCCATCTCTTGCCTTCACTCTCTCTGTCTTCCTTCCTCAAAATATGTGCACATATGATAGTGAAAAAGAAACAAACAGAAAAATATATGCAGATAAATATAGATTATTACTAATATTTTAATTTCTTTGCATTTTTCAAACTCAGAATGTTCTTCAACGACGTTCAGATTCATCAGCATCAGGCGATATTTCTGAGGTAAGTTGAGATTTATAGTGTTTTTGGTGTTCAAGATAAAATCAGATTTTTAAAAGTATAATATAATGTAAGCATTTTAAAATGTGTTTCAATTTTTTTTTAATTTAATATCTTTATCCTTAGGTGCTGTCATATTACTCCACATGTACAATTTTTTTTTTAATATTTAACACACACACACATATATATATATATATTATTATTATTATTATTTTTTATGTATCCCCATATTTGAGTAGATGCTCCATTTATTTATTAAACAGTATATTTATTTATTTTCATCTAGCAACCTGAATATTTGAGAAATCTTATTAAAGACAAATATCTGCTCTCTGGTAGGATTCAAACCTATATTTGAAATTGATGGATTAATCTATATAATAAATGCAAATGTTGCTGTGTCACTCTTTTTCAACTTTACTCCTAGTGACCGTCGCCTAACATATCATACCATTTTTGAATCAGGCCAACTCCATGAGCAAATAGAAAATATTCTGGGCCAGATCTGGACCCACAATCCTGAAATTTTGGATTCCCAAATTTTCATTACTGCGATTTTTTATTTTTTTATTTTTTTTTTTTTTTCAACATGATTTTTCGTGACAAGTTTTTATAACTTGGAAATAAATTTGGGAATAATCAAAATTAATTGCAAAATCCAGCAAAAGTCACCCATGAAATAAAAATAAATGTTTGTATGGAAAGTAAGGACCTACATACATCAAATTGTCTTTAAATTAAGTGGCAGCAGAAGATTTATCATTGAACTTTTAAAAGTTAAGCTTAAATATTAACACAATACTTAAATGCAGCAATCAATTTTGAGTTCTTTGGTAGTTTATTGTTGCCTATCGCATCTACTCCTCCCTACCTATTGTGATGAAGGTCCAATCAAGAGCCATCCACAGGAGCTAGCTTAACTGCCACCAAATAGCGTGGCTTTTAAGCAAGTAAATAAATATGTGCTGCCTGGTAGGATTCAAACCTATATTTGAAATTGACGGTTTAATAAATGAATATTTGCTGCCTGGTAGGATTCAAACTTTACTAATAACAGTACTAAAATTTAAGAGACAATATGTATTAATATATATAATACATGTCTCTGTCTCTATTTCTGAAATGAGGTATTGTAATTATTTACACTATTTACATTGTTCGGACTGTTGTCCTCATCTTTATTGTCATATCCACAACGTTTCAGACATTGTACACTCATCTGGAACATACAATGTCCGAAATATTGTGGATATGACAAGATGAGGACAACACTCCAAACAATGTAAATGTAAATAGTGAAATAATACATGACTCTTAAGTTTTAGGCTTTCACAGCTATGTGCAACCATTTTTTATTATTTGAGTTTTTTAGTACTATTATTATTAATAATATTACTTCATCATTAATTAATCACATTTTTAGACAAATACATTAAATTTGTGTCTCCTGATATTTTCTCATAAATTATAGATTATTAAGCAGATGCCTTCCATCAACTCGGATGGATTACTCCCAGCATCTCTTTATCATCTGTCACAAATAAAAAAGCAATCAAGTAAGTTTACCTTCCTTCTCTTTTTTTTTTTTCTTTTTGAGGAGAAGGAGGAGTTGCAACCATTGTATTTTAGTTAATTCTAACTTCCTTACTTTTGCTGAATTTTTTATTAGTTTAATCATTTATACACTTGAGGAAAGTTGAAAAGGACAGTAACCAAAATGTTGTTATAAAAAACAATAAAGATGAAGAAATTACCTCAAATGAACCATTATACAATTCTGCTTCACATAAAATCTTATCAATGCTAGTGCATGTTTTTTAATTAATTTTTTTTTTCACTTCAGAAAGTCCAAATATAGCAACTTCTACTGATCAAATATTAACAGCTGATTTCAAAGAATGGTTTGTAACAATTGAATATATTTGCATGTCGATATGTTCTCATCATAAAATCTCAAAGCTAAGTATTAGCTGTTTTCATTTGACATTCTGCTCATTATATATATTTTTGCTTCTATTATTTACTAATTATTATGGTTGGAAAAAATGGCAAAATAAACTATTTCTTTGTCTAGATTATATTTTGGTGAAATCGTCTTTCCTCCTCGGGGCTATATTGATAGCCCTGGTTGGGAAACAGTTAGTGATCAGAGATTTGTGTCACACTGCTTAGTTATGATACTGAATGACCAAATATTAGACCAATCAGCAATATTTTTTCTTGTCCCAGCTGCACAGACCAAAAGAGACTTATAAACTTTAAAAACTAACTTTTCTTCCCTTCTTTAAGGGATGGTACACTCAGTTTTGTATATAAATATTATATAAAATTCTGTGTCTGTAGAACCCTGTGTTGTATTCATTATTCAGTATAATCACATGATCGATAAATGTTGTGAAGTGTGTGATCCTAAGTTTCCTACTTGAATGCTCCCCCTTCCTCATATATACAAGTCTTTGCACTCAAATGTAAATGAGGCAAGACTTAATTTTAATATGTTATAATAAGTGTTTGATTGTGAGAGATAGGAATAAAGAGGATTAGATTTTGAACAACGTTTATTGTATAGTATGTTGTACAGATATGCCGAAGCTAAGATGAAATGTCTGTTTCAGTAGCCAATTGTGGTGATCAGGAATGTTACACTCATTCACATTTAAATCTCATTCTGATTAATTCCAAATGCTGGCTGTATGTAAATGCTGCAAGGGAAAAAGGCAAAATAACAAAAGTTGTTTTCTACATATCGGGCTCTGCTCAACACATCCAGTCTACAAAGTGAACTTCGGCAGTGGCTAATCGTGAATGTTCCCATCAGTTAAAGAGATGCCCCTTGGGACTACCAGAACTGCTTAAAAGCAGGCTCTGAGGATGAACAAGGAACATGTGCGGTCAGTGTGGTTGCTGGTCATCATGCAGGGCACTGCTACTGCTGCTGCTACCTCTCCCATCACCATGACAACAGAATGGCAGACCAGCCACCACACAAAGTACTACTACCACCACAGTCACCACCTTCACTGTCACCACTCGACATGACTGCACATTTCAACATCTGTTACCACATCCTGGCTTGACCTACAACCTTGGCTGTCCAGTTTTCAACTCAACATCTCTACCTTAATTCCTTACAGCTACAGGCCTTCATCGATACCAACACCTACTGTCACCTTGGCCTACTCTAACATGCCTCGACTTACTTACAAGGCATTCTCTTTGCAGTTGACTCCAGCAACATCCGTTCCACAGAACAGCTCTACTTTGGCTCATTTACAAGGCACTCGATTCAAAGTTAACATAGCTACCTCCATTCCACAGAACAGCTCTACCTTGACTTGCTACAAGGCACTCTTGTCATAGTTGATGCAGCTACCTCCATTCTGCAGAACTGGCCTCCCTAAATCCACTGTCACTTCTGCCAACCTCACCTCGCTTACAAGGTGTTCCCTTTGAAGTCGACACAGCAACATCTGTTCGATATAACAGCTCTACCTTGGCTCACTTACAAGGCACTCTCTTCACAGTCAATGCAGCAACCTCCATTCCACAGAACTGGCCTCCCGAAACCCACCGTCACCTCGATCTACCTCAACTCATTTACAAGGCACTCCCTTCGCAGTTGACCCCAATGACCAAACAGCCTACAAACGTACACTAACTGTATCTTGTGACCTCGGCCATGCCAGAATAAGAAATGGTTCAATCCCCAACATACACGTGCACCTGACCATATTCCAGTATTATCTACAACAATAAATGCTGTTTCACTCTAACCCTCATTATTCCTTTCTCTTGCTACCATACATTTAATATTACAGGATTAAGAGAAATGCTGAGAGTTGACCTATTTCTTGCGCTGGCCTTGCCAAGGTCACAGAATATGGTCAATGCATGTGTTGGTTGATTGAGGTCACGGTGGTGGGTCAATTTTGTTGATTGGTAGGTCTGTTCTATTGAATGGGCCACAGTAATGACTGCAAAAGAATGCCTTGTAACGAGTTAGGTATGCTCAGATTACTTACTGTAACCTCTTCTTCTGTCTCCTCTTTCAATTCTTATATTGGCTTTATTTGGTTGGTATAGGCAATAACATTCTTTTGATGTTCTGATACTAATGCTGTATTTTATCCCTTCTATATTATAAATTTGACCCTTTCAGGAGTCAAGTAGCTATTTTTCTTTTACCACATTTTCTAATAAACAGAATAATAAACAATTAACAGGAACCTAATCTCTCTTGCCATTAATGCAGATGACCTTTGTAATTTGTCAGCATGTATAGTTCAATAATGAAGCAATAGTCTTGGTAGAAAACTATTATCCTGGTGAGGAGAAAATGCCTTCGATCACATTTTTATAGACTCTTTGTAATTTCATTTGATTGTGGATGATATAGTAGCATTTTATATGGAATGCAGCCAATTTTTCTTAAGAAAGAATACAGACAATCATTGCAAAATTCTGCATACTAATGTTTTTAGGACACCATTTCTGGAGAATATTAATCATAATCCTTATCTTACAGTATCAATTATTCTGTCATGAACACAACTTCAGGCTATACAGGAAAGTAATTCACAATGTGACACTTTCATATTTTTATTTTTTTAAAACAAGCATGTTGGATTAATTTTTATTATTTTCCTGATTTTTCTTCTTTTCTTCAATTTTTATGTTAATTTTTACAAAATTCAAACATTTTCTTTCCTATTAGATAAATCATTTTATAATTTTTTATTGATTTTTAGTAGAGTTAAATTTTTTAATCAACTCTTTTTATTGAATAAACACAAAGCATGACTTCAGTGACATTTTAGTCCACATGTTTTATCTATGCGGAGAAGTGTTGTACATACTTTCAACTGATCTTGATTAATATTTCTATAGACATTTTGTATTTTCTAAGTCTTTTGAATTTGCAGACTCTCCTAGCATCTCCTATCCGATATAAAAATTTTATAATTAGTTCATCCGCTTCTTGTTTTAAAGACCATGAAATTAGTTCACTCTGCAACAACCAATCACCTTTTTAGTCTTGATTATTATTTTTCTTGAATTATCTCACAAAATCGTTTGAATGTTAAATCTTCCAATTCTTTTGGATATGTTATTAATGAGATTTTCATGATTTCTTTGCACTCTGCTGTAGCTAAAAATAAATTGGTGCTTTCATTTTTTTGACCTTCACCTGCTTTTAGTTTCTTGGATCTAAACATTGGCTGGGAAAACATTGTAACGACAATTCAACAAAGTCAAGTTCATCCATTTGAAATAAAGATCCTATCAGCAATACCATTGCTGTGAAGTGTATGATTCAAGCTTTTCTATTTGAATGTGACTTCCTCAGTACTAGATGGACAATACATACTATGTGCTCATATGTAAATGAGGCAAGACTTATTTCAATATCACTACATATACAAGCACTATACTTGAATGTGATTGAACAGATTTACTTTATTAATTATCAATTTATCAACATCTCTATTTCTTTCTATTGCAGTTGTGAATCAATATATTCTGAATCACCTGTATTCATCAAAGTAAGATTCATTTTCCTTTACTCATGGACTTTGTAAAAATATTACTCTATTCAATAAGAAAAAAACTATCAAAGATTTTTTTTTCTTAAAGATTTAGGCAACAATCTATTAAATGGACAGGGAACGGCTGTTCAGCTTTTGATTTATAATTACTCAGGTCTTAAAATTTAATTTTTTCAATTTTTTTTTACAAGTTTTCACCTGAAATAAAGTGGTTAATTCAACACCAAGAAAATATCACCAAGACACTCTACAGATATTTGGTGTCTGTTCTATTTAATAGAAATATATATATATATATATATATATATATATATATATATATATATGAATATCAAATACTTAAAATACCATAGGTAATAATCTTTATTTCATGAAAGCTACAAAAATAGCCTTCAATCTTTCAGACCTGCAAACTAAATATAAATGGAAACAATTACTCCAGGTTAAATTCAAGATATACAGATATTGTACTGAGAGAGAGGGAGAGAGAGAAAAAGAGAAGGAAAGATTCAAAATTATAAACATGTAATGGTGGTGTGTCGGGGAGGAAGAAGACCCGAGGATTTAAGGTTTGAGTTATCTAATATGACATACACTACAATGTTGCATTTTGATTTAGAGGTTGAATGAAAATCTTGTTAAGTCAATGGGAGTTATGAAACACTGTCTGTGTTACTTACTGGCTAAGAACCTGATGTATACATATTCCATTTAACAAACTTTTATAAATTTATCTTAAAAAAAGTGTTTGGTTAACAATATTTTAAAAAATATTCAGAACTCCGCAAAAGATTTAGAATTTACCATACCATGATAAAAGTTCTTAATATAATTCCCCAAGAGATTTAAATTAATTTACCTGAGAGATTTAAATAAAATACTTATTAATTACTAAGATATCCATAGAAACTTAGTTTATTTTATTTTTAAAGTATATTAAGCAGGATATATTTATTACATTTTAATAGGGTACGGAGGTAATTTAAATTAAAAGTAAAATAAATGGGATCTTAATTCTCCAGTGTATATCTACTAAAGTTATGAGTTTAGTTCAAAAATTATCTGAAATTATATTTGAATCATATTTTAAACACACACCTACACCTATCTATATATACATACATACATTTATATTACAAACATACACTTACTCATTTACATATTTATAATAAAAAATGTTATATATGCACACACATACACATATATATACACATTCACACACACACATATATACATATCTCCACATACACCCACACACCTATATATACATATAAATATATCCAAAGACATCTCCATTTTCTACATCTATACATACATATATATACATGTATGCACACATTAAAGACACCTACATAGACATATATACATATATATCCATATCCCTATATAAATCTATACATATATAATTGCATACGCACAAACATACAACCTTATATATATATATATATATATATAATATGTGTGTGGGTGTACTATACACATATACATATATATATGGTGATGGTTGCCAACTCATGTCCAAGTACAGCCATTACTACATATCTTTTTGGAGAATATCTACTGATGTGCTGAACAAATGTGGCTCTTTAACCCAGCAAGGAACCAACATACTCTGGCACAAGGAGGGCACTTAATAGGTGCAACAGCTAGTGTTACATTATTATGCAATTTAAAATGTCACATGAAACCGCTTCTTGACCTGCATGTCTTACCACAAATATCACATTTCAGTTGCTGTATATCTACGGCTTTATAGTCAGTTGCCACCCTCTGTCAGTGCACTTTCAAGTGACTCCTTAGACCATCCATCAGCAAACAAACACACTCTACCACAATCTGTACACATCAGATTGAGCTATCTGCAGGTGTCTTCAGGAAGTTCAACAGGGACGCCTTTACGCACATCTCTTTTAAGCCTTGAGTGCTTCCTCTTCTCCTACTCAAAGTGGCACCTTCCACTCCAAGCAGCCTCATTCCAATTATTGCAATCAGATGCACATTCTTCCCAGTGCTCACAAGGAATGTCTCATTTCTTCAGCACATCCTTGATGCAGTCCTTAAAGTGAATCTTCTGTTTGACGGCATTACTCTTCCCTTTTCGCAGCTCACCATAAAACAATTCCTTTGGAATACAGCTGTCATCCATTCTGATGAGGTGGCCTGCCCACCGAAGTTGAGGTTTTAATATCAAGGACTCAATACTATCACAGCCACTCCTCTCTATCATGTCTACATCACTAACAAACATTTGCCAGGTAATGCCAAAGATACGACTACTGGTTAAGGAACAGTTTGAAATAGTCTATGTCGATGTTGAGGTAATTTTTGTTTTTTTGTTGTAAAAAATACATATGCTCTGTTGAAATAAAAACATCAAGCTCTCTGTGGACCAGTTTTAATAATTAATATTACTAGGATCCACCTGGATTATATACCAATGGATCGATTACCTGTACTATATATATATATATATATATATATAGATATATATATATATATATATATATAATGTATAGTTGTAGAGTGGATAAATGAAATGGCCAAATATAAGCAAGCATGTACACATGTGCTGGTGTACATATACAGGCAAGCAAATAAATAATTGTTAAATTTATGCATGAGGTGTAAACGTAATAGTGCTCAGTGCAGTTATACATAACAAAGATAAGTATTAATTAGTACATATACCTACGTTTTTGGCATGTGAATATAGTTTTATTGGGTGGTGTTCCCAGTTGTTCATGACAAACTATAGTTTGAAACTATAGTTCCACGGCAAAAACATAGGTACCTGTATGTACTAATTAATACACACACACATACACACACATATATATAACTCCAAGTACAAGAAAAACACTTCATAGACAAATTTAAACCAGCACTAAACAAATAAACCCACACACAAACACACCATATGAAATGTAAGTGTTTACTATATGGATTTCCTTATAATAATATAGTATACAATATATATGTATGGAGAAGGAATATATACACACAGACTGGCAAAAACAAACACACTAGATGGCCCACATGCATGCACAAACCCTACACACCATGCACATTGTGTATGGAGAAAGAATATATATACACATACTGGCAAAAATACACACATATGTGGCCTGATGATCGCATTTAGCATGAAAGAGTCTGATGCCTCTGAGTGTTGACTTCAATGTTCACTTTTGTATTTACATACTCTATCCCATAAATATAGCACACCTTAAAACTATATTTCTTCATATATATATATATATATATATATATATTATCATGTATTTCTTATGACTATAAATGTTATTTTTACTAGGTACATGTGTTTAAGTAGACATCTCTGTTTATTTACAAATAATATCATCAACATCTACCAGCTTAGGTCATCTAAAGTCTTACTGAAGAAAATGTACAAATCTACATTCCTTTTTTTCTAGGAAACCCCCTTAGCTAGACATGCCATTAGATTTCAGCTATTGAGGTCCCAACAAGAGCTGTTCATTTCTTAAGAGGGTAATTGAGTCTTACTGTAAATTGAGCTAAATATTTTATTGAACAAACTTATAAAAAAAACCCTCTATGAGTGTAAGATTACTTATCAATCATCCTCAACAATAGTGTAAATATATACACTATTATATCTACTGGGGAACGGGAGGAGAAAACCCATTGTTCACAGGTCTATGATTCAATGGTTAATATTGATCACATATACCAAAAAGTTTACATTGAAAATTCAGCTGATAACTGTTATAGATTTACCATCATAGATCATCTTGATAAAATGTAGTTAATCTGTAGTTAACTTTCTTTTCAGCGTTGCTATTCCCATCCTCAGCTCTCTTATGAATCACTGTGGACTGAAATTGGTAGAGAAACACCTCAGCCGAGGCGATGTCAATCTTTAGAAAATCAACATTTCTCTGAGTTTTTAACTGCCTTTGACTGGGAAGTAAGTTTTTCTATATTTATTCCAATTGTCTTTGAAAAATAAAAGTTCTTTAATGACTTGAAGATAAATGGTAAATCTCTGCTGTGCACATGTGAAAGAGATAAAGAGATTTATATAAATAAAGTTTGCATTTATATTTATGTGAAAATTAGAGAAGGACCTCTCTTCTTGAAATAGTTACATATTTCTGAATAATACTGGAAGTTAGTGCTTTAGACCAGGAAAAAGATCAAGATTTTGAAGGATGATTTTCTAAATAGTTAGCCTCACCTAACTGGGAAGATTCATACAACACAATCTTATCTGTTCTCATTTACCTTGTACTAATATATTAGCATATTATACTAGTATATTTTGTAACTTAAAACTACACTTAATCTATGTAGAGTTTAAATATTTCATTTATTTATTCAAAATATTTACAAAGTTTTGCTACTTTAATCACTTTGATCTTTCTTTTGTCTATCACCATAATGGCTTTTAAGACTAAGCTATAGTCTCTGCATGACATGATTGCTAACCATTGCCATTGCTTTATAGCAAGCACCTAAATTTATTTTTAAAAATTATTAAAACGATGATTGCATGTATTTTATAAAATAAAAATTCATGTTAAATTTTACATAAACTAAACATTTACATAAATAAAAGAAGGGAGTTATATCTGATAAAACTTTTTTATTTTAATATAGAGCATTTTGCTTATTTGATGTCTTTTGTACCATGTTTATTTACTAATTTAGAATGTTTATATGCCTAATCTTCTTCTGAACTCATATAATTGACTAAAAGTGGGGGAAGCAATTTAGTTCTTGCTGCAGAACAAATGAGTGAGCTTCAACCTCCACATTTTAAACTCTTTGAAAAATACATTCTAAGTTTGTTGTTTCAATTAAAAAGCTCAAAAACGTTTTAATTTCAGGAACAAAATAATTTGGACAAGAATGGTTTGCGATCAACATCAAAGATCAATCAAGATTTGCAAACATTATTAAAAAACCGAAAAGATGATCAAGATTTGGAGACTTTGCTTCTTGATGATATGCCACCACTTATTAAGGTTAGATTTGAAAAACAATGGATTTATTGATTACAAAAGTTTCCATTGTGTGCAGGTATGAAGCATCATTTAACTATAGCCATTTAAGTTATTTTTACTCATGGAATTGCTATATTTATATTAACATTTAGAGGATTTAATATGTGTTACCTTGGTAGTACCCATCTCCCCTCCAAGTAACATACATCATCATATTGTACTAGGTTACATGGTACCAACATCGTGATATAATCCCTAATATGAACTGTTGGGAAAGATGGATTCAGGCCTTTCCCAAGGGCATTAGTGCAAAATAAATGCAAACTACCTCAGCTGGAATTTGAACTCATTTGGTTTATTTTCAATTTATTGATTAGTTATAAAATTAATCAGTCAATATTATTTATAATTAATATTACTAACAATATATTTTCTCTTTATAGAAATGTCAGAAACAGAAATTAAATTATCAGATTCATACATTTCAATTGGAAGGAGATTTATATAAATTCATAGAATTGCTTTTATTCAAATTTAGTACCAGAAATTGAACTTGTAATTCAGTTTGTCTACAAAATTGAGAAAATTCTCTCATTCAGTTTACCATGTGAGAATGTTTGTCAAATAGTCTTAGACTGATAAAGCTCATTTTCAGCTTTACACATATTTGATATATTATACACACATGAGCACTTACGCACACACACACATACACACTATCAAATCAAATATAAATGAACTAAAAATGCATTATTCTGAAAGAAGTAAAAACATCCATCATATTTTGTTGTATTGTATTTTTCCTTTGTGTACACAATAAACAAAATAAAAAATGATTATTGTTATTATTCAGCTTTATAGTTTGGGGGTGAATTATTACTATGGATAATTTATGTTTCATTGGTATAATAGTGAACAGAAGTGAAGAGAAAAATTAATTTTACTAATATCAAATGTTAATATTTGACAAAATTAATATATGTATAGTTTTAAGAAAAGATAATATTGAATAAGTATCATTCGATATTCATATAGTTTGCTAACTTGAATTCATCATCACATACCTTATTTTCTGGCTTACAAGATGCTGTGACTTGGAAGACTCACTCTAATATCAGAAAGAAATTTCTAAGCGAAAAAGTCATTCTCATACAACACATTCACTGTGCGTCCCTCACAAACTGGTGTCACATATTGTATACATTAATCACTCATGTGATTTTGTTTGTATGACAATGACATAGTAGTCAAGAGTAGAAAGGCTCCTGCCACTGCTTGTAAATAGAACATGTTTAAGCTTGTGGCTTGGCCCCAGGAAAGTTTATAGTCCTGGAAATAATTGTAACATCTGAATACTGAGGTTATATCATATAAAAGGCCGAATTAGATAGCTAATATTATAGTGTAATGATTCAACATACAAATCTACGTCCCTATAAGTCAATTAGGTGACTTTTAGGAAAAAAAGTGTGTCTTGTAAGCTGGAAAATACAGTAATCAGCATTAGAATGTTAATAATAATAATGATGCCACTTAAAAGCATTGTTTCTGCTATCATTCTTCTGGTTGAAGAAGATTTATTACTATTTTTGAGAATGAGTGTCACTATTCAAATATTTACTTTTTCATGGTATTTTATTTTAATTCAATAATGATCCTAAATTAAATATTGTTTCTTCTTGTGAGGCTGTGCCAGAAGATCAGAAAAGAAAGAAAGCCAGAGAAAAACTGGATAAACAAATTCAGGAGCTGTGTGAAAAAGAAAAAACATTGCAACAAAAAGAGAGGTAAATAACTATATTTTTATCTGTGGATCAATAACCCAACCACATGAAGAATCACAAATAGCTCTTGAAATGCTTGTTGCCATAAAATTTAGTAAAAATTTTGATCTTCATTACTTTGAATTCTTTTGAATAAAAATAGGCTAAAAAAACAGAATAAAATCAGAAGCTTTTGTCAGCCTTAGGCCTGTTCTTTTTCATTTTTTTTCTTGTTCATTGCTCTCCTTCCATTCATCATGATTTTAAAGTAAAATGAATCTTCTACTTCTCAACTTTTATGTTTTGCATTTATTTCAGTTTACATTCAACATATTAATCAGAAATGAATCTTGTTTTGTATTGACTCTAAATCTGTTTTCTTCTTTCTGTTTTTGTTTTTTTTCTGTCCCAAATTGTAAATGCTTTTAAAATTCTCCTTGAACATAATTTGATTTCTTAGCTTGAAATGGCGACCAAATGATACAAGATCCAGGAAGAGAATTTTGATTTTTGAAATTAAAATGAATATGTGAATGGAGTTATTGGCTTATAGATATTGTTAACAAATGCAATTCCTTCTGAATAATTAGAAATACAAATTGAAAATGTCTCATTTTATATTCTTCCATATTTTTAGTCTAGAAAATCTAGAACCTGCTTTTGATCAACCAACAATATTGACAACACAACTTTCTACTCAGGTAATTTTTGATAATTTTTGTATATAAATGGATAAATCAAATATATTACACATATTATTGATCCCACTGGAAAATCTTTGCATGTGGTAGGGGCGGTCTTACACAAGATGTGTTTCCTTTATTGTATCCTCAATTTTAAAAGGCATTACCATCAGTTTGCACTTTAAGACCTTATTACATTTATTGTTCCATTGTATCTATAATTCTTTCAAAAATGTTGTTGAATATATTGATATTTCAATATTAACTCTTATTTTCTGAGAATATTATGAATAGTTGTGAAAATATTGACAACATTTTCTACCCTTTCATATTTGTTTATTAAGTACCTGCAAGTTTTATTTTTAATTTCTTATGTTGTGCTTATACAGGTGGGCATGCATATAGGAGCTTAACTTATGCAAAGTTTACCTTTTTGCATCTCCTCAGCTATAATTCCAAACTGCAAATATGATTAGGAATAATCCTGAGAAGATTCTAGAAGTTTACCTTCTTGTTTGGAATATTTTTCTTCCATAAAGACAATAACAGATTAAACAGCCATTGTTTGAAGAGATCACATGGAAAAGAATTGTTAGTCAGGATTTATCTCTGCTTATCTGGTTCCCTTCTTTTCTCTTTGATGGAGTTGAGCTATGAGTCAGATGAGTAGGAGAAGTGGGAGAGAGAGAGAGAGAAAGCAAGGGATCGGAATTATTGGAGTATTTCAAAGTCCAAATTCATGATAGTAGTGCTTAGAGAAATTTGTGTATTCTTCAGTTTATTGAAAAATCTAGAAGAAAATATGAAGACTATAAAAAGACTGAGTCAAATGATAGAAAGGAAGCCTTATCATTGAGTTTTCTGTTGTTAGGTTTACTAAATATATCTGGGCATTGTTACATTCTTCCTAAAACCAGATCTTCTGATTCATGCTCCACTAATTTCCACCACTTTTCAGATGTGAACACTCTGAATAGCCAAAACTAAACTAAAATTCTGTCAATTGCACAAGGCTCTGCACATACCTACACACACAAAGAAAAATAAGCAATACAATCCAGAATTTCCACCTAATAGCACCCACTTCTACCTAAAGAAACAAAATAAAAACTAGAGCTGATTTGAGCCTATAAAAGAAAATAAAAGCTCATCAAATGGACATTTTCAGCAGTTGGATGGCATCTTGGCCCAGGTTCACAGACTTCATCAGAAAGCAACCTCCCATCTCGAAGAGACAGATTGCCAAAGGCTATCACCCCAGTAATTCACAACTCATCCTCCCTCTCCTATTGTACGCCTCTGCAAGCACCTTTTACAATTCCACCTACCATTTTTTTCAACAGGAGACATTTACATTGATTTGTCATCTGTTGTATTTTTGTATACAATTGTTTATTTCTTTAAAACTTCTTTGTTTCTTTTTTCTTCTGCCATCATCCACTTAATATAACAGCATCTTCAGTAGTATCTGTTTGTTTTTAAAAGCAGATATTTACTCAAACATTTAAAATAAAGATGACTAGAGTGAAATCAAAAAGAATATAAGTGAAGGTTTTATTTTCTAGATAAAGAACATGCTAACAAAATATAGAAATGTGTTATATGCCTTCTCTCCCATTCTGAAAAGAAAAGCTAGTGGATATTAGAAAATCTGTCATTACTCACAAATCCAGCTTGTAATATTACTTCTCTTTGTGGCATCTACACCAAAACTGTCCCCTGTGCAGACTGGGCTTCACTGACTGGCTGTAAAGAGTCACATGACCGTTCAAGCAAGCATGGAGTGTACTAACTTGGGAAGAGAAAGGAAAGTTAACGCAACACTGTTATTCCTTTTATTTATTGTAAAGATTTCCCAGTGAACAGTGTAAATTCTCTTTGCCACTCCTGTTTTTTTTTTTCTTATATAAAGTCAAGTACATGTCATTTTGTTGTTCTACTGCTTATTTTGTTATGTTCTTTTCTCCAATTAATTCCAGTACACATCAGTGCCAGATATAGGTATTACCCAAAAATTTAAAGCTTCACAAATATTCCCTAACATGAGACCTGGCATTATTTTTAACATAAAAAAAATTTTAACAATTCTTTTTTTCCTATCATCAAGTAAGATGCATGAAACGCAACCATTCTGATGGAAGCTTTTATGGAATAACAAAATATTTTCTTTTTTTTTACAGACTGTTGCACGTACAACTGATGTACGAATATCAAAACGAATCAAAAGTGTGGATCATCATTTGATCAGCAAATATCCTCAATATAATGATCTTCTAGGAGAGGTGAATAAAATTAATTTCTTCATTTTTGCATTATTCACTTAGAAGTTTCAAACTATTTACAGTCATTTAAATCACTTAAATCATTGTCCCTTGATCCAAAGTAATCTTTCCATTTAAATGAATCCTCTTAAACCAAACCAAGCTGAATCATGTCCTCAAAGAACAAAAAAAATGCAGTTTTATAACTTCTTTATATGGATTAAAAAGTGCTAAATATTACCTTTTCAGATTTGAAAGTTTGCATGTTACCGATGTATTTTTGAAAATTTCCACTTTTCTTTTTACTTGCTTATCTTAGCCTGAAAAATTTTTCATTTGATTTTCAAGAATGTCTCACTTTTAGATTTTTATTTAGATCCATGTTTAGGTTAATTTCAGAAATGTTATAATTTCGTTTTTATCTGCTTAGAATATCACCAACTGTAAAATATCTTTTTTGACCAAAGTTGATTCTGTATTATCATAACTAATTATTGCTCCACCAGCTTTTTATCAGTTTCATTTTAAGATAATTACATATATGTGTGTGTGTGTGTGTGTGTGTGTGTAATGATAGAAAGTAAAATTATAACACCCTGAATGCATTTCAATTTAAGATTAAACATAATGGTAACTAGATTACAGTAAAGATCACATCATTTACAGCTCATTATGTGACCAGGTCCCAAAATAAGGAGTCTATCAACAGACCCTATATTAATAATATATGTTTCTTGAATCTTAACATTAGCTTGTTCTCTTGCATGCATATGATCATATATGCTATAATGTTATACATTATCCCATGGCACCTGTTGATGAAATACAGGAAGAGTTGTAGGTGGGCTAACTGAATGAGTTAGGAATTCTCCCATCATGTCCCATACATGTTCAATGGGGGATGTGCTGGCCACAGAAGTTGCAGGGCATTTTGAGTAGCATGGGTGTAAGCATTATTCTGCTGGAAAAGGATATTGCCATTCTATTTCAAGAATGGCAACAGAACAGGTCCTGGACATACATGTCACTGTTCAATGTTGTCTCCACAAAAGCACAAAGAGAAAATGAGAATTGCCACTTATGGTACCCACTACACTATGATTCCAAGGCTGGTCCTGTGTGTCATGGGCAAATGTCATTCAAGCAAATGACCATTACTTGCATGAAGACAGTATATGCTCTCATCAATCAACACTATGGAGTATTATTCAATCCTCCTCACAACACCAGTGCAGACATGCACAATGGTATGTTGTGGTGTAAGTGAAATAATTAACTGAGGCAAGGAATGGCTTGTTAATTTTAATGCCTCAAAAAATGAAACTGCTCTCTTTTAATCATCTGAAAGAACCCTTTTTGCCTTCCATCAGCATGGCTGATGCTAACCCCCAGGAAAGTGACTCATTGCACCTTCTCAGGCTAATGTTTTCCATTGACATGAAGAGGAAAGATTATATTGAATCACTTGCTAGGGTTGCTGCTAGGAATATTGGTTCACTGTGTCATGCTAGACAATTTTTCTTGCCAGTATATCTCTTACATATTTATAAGTCTACCATTCATCCATGCTATGAATATTGCTGCCACATCTGGTCAAGTGCTCCTGCTATATATTTAGAGATTCTTGATAAAATACAAAGAAGAATCTGCAATGTTAATGGTCCTGACCTGGCATCTCAGCTTCAGTCACTTTCCCACCACTGTAATGTAGATTCCCTGTGTCTTTTCTATAAATATTTTCACAGTAATTGTTCTGATGAACTTTCCTTTATGGTACCTAGACTTTATGAATTTAAGCACAATACTAGATCAACAGCAAGGTCTCATCATTTTACAGTTGAAATTGCTAGATCTAGCTGTAAGTTCTATGCTAACAGTTTCTTCTTTTGCACTTCTTGCTTGTGGAAATCTCTTCTGATTTCTTTTGATTTTCAAACATTTCAATGCAATGTCAATTGTTATTTTCTGTCTTCTTAATTTCTAATCTTTTATTGTTCTCTCCACTTAAATGTTTTTTTCTCATTTTCTCTCACATTCATTAACTCCTTGCATCTTAGTGGCTTTATTCCCTTGCTTGGGATAAAATGATTTTTAAAAAAAATAATAAAACAACATTTAGTTTGAAGAACACTCATGGACATCCTTGTGGGCATTGAAAATCGCATAAAAAGAGAATAAAAACCAGATAGACTAATTACTCATCAATAAATGATTTAAAATTGCAGTTTTGCACATAACCAGATGCTGACTGTGAGAATGATCACCTAAGAGTAAAAGTACAAAAATTAAAGCAACCAAAAGTAATGCCTTACCTCAATACAACAATGTCTGCAGTGATTTCATTTACAAATAAACTTATGCAGTTGCAGTTAAGAACAAATATAAAACATAGAAAGACATCAGGAACTTTAGGGTGTTGTAGGAATGGAAAGTATTATCATTTCATTCCTCCTGCTATGTTTGTACCACAAACAATATTTGGCAAGTGCATGTGGATTTGGGTAAAAAATGGATACACAAATGTTACAGCCAATTACTGCAGCACAAAGTTTAAAAAGAAAAGCCAAAAAAAAAAAAAAAAAACCAGTTGTTTAAAAGACATCCAGGTTTACCATGCCACAGTGGAAGGATTTAGTGCAGGGTCAAATATATGATTTTAAAACGATAACCAACAGTGACCAATAACAAAGGCTAATATACAAATTAACAATATTTAATTACAATTAGACAATGCATGAAAACATTTAGATATGAAAATGCATGGAAAGATGTATGCTATAGATTTCTGTGTGGAAAGATGCATGCATTATTTTATGAGGGCAAAATTTGAAACAGAAACTTAGCTTCAGTATTTCTTCTGAAATAAAGTTTTCTCTTTTCCCTTCTCTCCCTTTCTTTTATGATTCTCTTTGTCCCTTTTACTTTCAAACTGTGTCCTTTGATCTATTCTTACTTCAACATTGCATTCATTATCCAGTCATTTAGTTTTAGGACTACAGAAATCGTACATTTGGTTATGAGGATTCGGTGCTGTGTAAGTCATAAGTTTAGCTGTGCAGAATTTATCTTTTGTATCCTTTGTCCAATTAAGTATATCACATATGTGTTTCTTAGGTGACTGTCATGTTTTGCCATTCGCCTATGCCCTTAATGTAAGCTGCATAATATTAAGTTAAATTGGAGTTTGTCTCTTATCATGCAATCTCTCTTGCTTGACTGTAACAAGTGAAAGAGGAATTTTCTACATAAGACTCATTTTCATTTAATTCTGTGTTAAGTTTCATGTGAGTTGGGGTTGTCATTCCTTCTCTTCAATTCAGAAAGTCAATTCACACGAGAATTTTATATACACTCCATTTCCTTCACCAAACTGAGTTCTGTCAATTTTTCCTGCTCGATCATTTATATCTGGTCATGTGATTTGTCACATGTATGAGAATCTATTTTTAGCTTTGGCTTCCATCTGTTGCTGTGTTTGTCAGTCTGATCTAATTGTCTTTGTGTTCAGTGACTGCCATTACATACCAAAAGTGAGAGGAAGGAGAGTTCACATATTGTTAAAAAGATAGGAAAGAGACATGGGTCACTAAGTGTAAGATTTTGTGTTGGTATGGGTACTGAGTTGCGGAAAGCTGTAACACAAAACATAGAATTCAACCAAACAATTAACAAATGTATTAACTAGACATGTTATGGAAGGATAAAGAAAGAAACAAAGTTGAAGTTATGAACAGTTAGATACAATCTTCATTCTGTGTCTCTGAAGTACTTAAATACCATGACTCTATCAGAATGAAAGGAAACATGTCTTGTCATTCCTAAAGTCAAAGGGAATAGAGGAAAAGCCTTTCAAATATCACACCACCTATGATAAGGGGGGAGGGATAATCGAACAAGGGAAGTTTTAAGAAGAACAAGAACTACAAAGAAACTGTTACTCGCAAAATTAGAAAGAGACAACTGAAATTTTTGTGACAAAACATTTGTTGACTTGAACATTCACAGGGCATATTTAAGGCAATATAGAGAAGCAGGGGGGTAATATAAGTAACCAGTTTAACAATTGTGAGTAATTAGATGACAGAATAAAGTTAAAAAAAAGGGGGAGGATGGTTAAAAGAGCAAGTATTACTTGGAGCAACAAAAGACATGTCTATAGTAATATATTAAAAATTATTTTTGATTTCTTTTATTGCTTCAGATTGATTCCGACAGCATGAAAGACTTGGACAAAACATTATTTGAAGAAAAAAATCTCACTGATGTTTTTAAAAAATTCTTGGATTCAATGACTCATGGTGATACCTTTTTTGACAATGTGAGTTTTACTGCTTTTCCTCTGTATTTGTATCCTTAAAATTCTACTTCCAAATCATCTAGAAAGTATAATGTATACCTTATGTTTTTAAAGCATCTCAAGTTGTCATTAGAAGTGTGTCATCATTATTTGTTCCTGACTAGATATTTCTTCACATCCAAAATGATTCTCAAAAATTTACTCTGTCATATAGGCTGAAGGGGACACCTTTTTTTTTTTTTTTATCCTTGCCCCAGAGAAAGGTAATCTATGCTAGACAATAATCTGAACTCCTGACCTCTGAATGAAAGGTATAAATTATACTTAGTATAAAATAGCAAATAAATAACAGTATCATAAGTGTCAAAAAATGAATTCCTGTTTCGGTATGATAAACAAATCAATAGACGAGTAATAATATTCCTTTTATATCCATATTACCAGTATTTCACTGTCCTCAACTGAAAAAGAAACAAACTGAATTATGTTGAAAGGATCAATCTTACAATAATTGTATTAACAATTTGTTTTATTTCAAATACACATATTATTATTGATATACAAATATTTTGATAAAGGTAAAAACCCCTCTGAAACTGGAGCAGCACTGTATAAGTGCAGTTCTATGAATCAGTAGATGAAGTGGGAACTTACTAGGTCTCTGATTTGTAAAAGAAGAAAAAATGCTGAATATCTGATTATAAGTGGTCAAGAGGATCTACATGTCATTACCCCCGCACCATCACCACCACTATCAAGGATGTATGGGTGGTGCAGTAGATAGCAGCTTAGTATGAAAAATCAGAGAGCTGAGTTCCAATTCCAGTCAAGTTTGTTGCATTCACTTATGTGCAAATACACTTCAGAAAGATACAAATCCATCTGTTCTCCCCTCAGCTATGGGATGGAAACACAGAGACCTCAATATTAGGTTTATCCATTTTTGTTAAAATAGATGTGTTCTTGAAGCCAGATTCTTCCTGACACTGTTTGAAAATAGGATAATTTATAATGAAGAAGAGTGGTGAAATGTTGCTGCCCTGTCATTTTAAAGGTTTGTCTGAGATGCAAGCATGCAATACTTGATTATTTACAAGACATTGCTATGTCTATTTAGTTGCTGTTATTAAATTGTACATCTTAATTAAGACTATTAAAGAGACAATAATATTTGTGTTTGTACAATTGATGTTTAGTGTATCCATTTAGTGAGAGCTTATAATTATAGTACTTTCTCATTTGTTAACCTGTAACGGTTAGAAAAGGTTTCTTCTTAGATCTACACCATTAATGAAAACAAATTCTATCAATTTTTTTTTTTATTTCTCATTCAGTTTTTCATTTGACAATTATATTTGTTCTTATATAAATTTTGCATACTGTTTAAAAATTAAAGTGACCTCACCACATACACATGGGCAGATGTTGGTTTTTCATGTAGCCCTTATTCATACTATGTCCTTTGTCTTCACTGTATGACGGTTTTGTAATGTTTGACAGAATAGCTGAAAGGATTGATGATATCCTTTCTGATCACTTTTCAGCTGCCATTCATATTTGTTGTGAATTCAATATTCACCATAAATAATGGTTAGTCCACTGAAACGTAACCAATGAAGAAAACAAACACTGTTATGACCTCTCCATCACATACGAGCTGACTCAGATTGTGGATAAGCCTATTTGTGTTCACAATATTGCTGGGCTTTGTGCTAATCTGGACCTCTTCCTTACATCCTGTCCTGACTAATGCTCTGCTGAAGTGTTATTTTCCTTCAGACCCATTCACTGGTCAGTGTCAAAATTGATGCCAAGCTGAAGGCATCCTCCAATATCCTATTGCATAAGACAATTTCCCAATACTCTAAAGTTCACTGGGATAAATTCAGATGTTACATTGTGAACATTTCTCTCTCAGCATTCAAAAAAGAACAGAGCTTCCAGCCTCCATCATTTCTGAATGGGTTCTTTTTGGCATGGAAAATCTTATCCTCCATAAAAAATAGCAATTTAGGTTTTGGGCTTCTTGGTCAGGTCAAAATCTTTTCAGCACCTCCTTCTATAGCTAATGTAAAAAAAAAAAGAAAAGATTTTCTCCTGGACAGCAAAATTGTCTCTTTCCTTTTCTGTTTGTCTCTTTTTATTTCACTACCAACCAAGAGCATAGTGAGAATCCTGACAATTGTAACAACTAAATAGCCATACAAGTTTATTATTATTTCAGCCTATAGTACAATGGTTATTATCTATCTTTTAGGATACAACTTTCATAGATGTTCCTTCAAATTTAGAGCTTTCTGCTACTTTGGAAAACAGAGAAAAAGAAGTTTTAAATGAAGAACTGTGTCAGTTTAACAAGCCTCCTTGGTTTAAAAGCAACTATAACCAGTGGCAGCTTCAGTAAGTACAGGTTTCTTGTTCTTGTATTGGATAACCAGAAAAAACTTATTTGCTTTATTAAAATAAAAAAAATCATTTCCCTTATTTTGATATTATTAAACAATTATATTTATCATTTTGTTTGTCTTCTGTCATCGTTCAAGCAAACTTCATAATTCCATCCTTCAAAGTTCTCTATTTTTTTGCATAAAGAAATGCTCCAAATTCTTTTTACTCTTTTAGAGTAAATTGAAATTTTCTCATTAAGAGAATTCTGAAAAGACAGAAATAAATAGTTGATATGGCAACAAACTTTCCAACCAAGCTATAACAATTTATATAAAATATGTAGTCTAGCTTTATTCTAATGGAATATTACATCATTTTTTTAACTATTTCTGGATGCTTTTCATCTATTGCTATTTTCAATTAGTCTAATTGGGAAAAAGTACTTATTCAAATTAATCATTTGGCTCTCTAGAAGGGGCTCACGTAGATGTCTCTGTTTCAAACCCATTATGTATACAACATCCTTTGGATGAAGACCAGCTTTCAGTATGGTTAGTAGTAGTACACTTTGCTTACTGCAATATGTTTTACATTCCACATTGTTGTAAAGTATCCACTTTTCATTGCATGTCAGAATTCATTTAAAAATGGAACATTTTTAGTATATTAAGTAGTAAATGGCACATGGAAATATAGTACAGTATTTCTTTTCTGCTTAACTTATATAGAAGTCACACATAAAGTGGCTTTCATGACCAAGTTACCACATATTATTTGAGTATTTTGAGCATGTTGGCGTTATCTATCTATCTATCTATCTATCATATATATATATATATATAATTATTTATTTTAGGATATTAAAACAAAAAATGTTAAAAATCGCTACACAATTACAATCATGTTTCAACACCACAAATGTGTCTCCTTAAGAGATGTCAAACCACTGGTAAGTGAAAAATTAATTTAATTTCAAAAGCAGAATGCTTTTAAAAAAAAATAGGCTTGTGGGCTTTGTTGCAATTAACCAATTGAATGTGACCTACACTAAATTCAAACCCACCACATATAAATCCTAGACAATTTCCTTATGGAGAGATACAAGTTGTTACATTATTTTGCAATTTTATCAAAGTCTGATGTTTAACTTTCCAAATATATCGGTTGTCCCTCAAATCCACAGATGACATAATCTGTGAACTCGGAGGTGACTCCGCAGCCCCAAGCTAGAGGCATAGAGTCGGGAACAGTGGGGGCACTGAAAGTCTGTTGTTGTAATCACTGCTGACGATGCTCTGTGGCATTGATCTCTGGCAGCAGTGAGCTTTTGGCGTTGAGCACCCTTGAAGGTGATAGCAGCATCATGAATTGTGATTTGCTAATGTGGTCAATCACTGGCATGATCCTTTAGTTCTTTGGGTTCAAGCTTGCACCCCTGGAGATTTGCTTTCATAGTGTCTTTGCACCACTTCTTTGAACAGGCTTGGTTTCTCTTGGTGTGCAGGAGCTCTCTGTACAGCAGACGTCTTGGCAAGCAGTACTCCTCCATGCAGATGACATGCCCCACCCATCAGAGTTGGGCCTTAATTAACATGAACTCAATGTTTGAAGAGTGAGCACAATCCAGGACCTCAAGGTTGGTAACGTGGTCCTACCAGCGAATTCTGAGTATGGAACAGAGAGCTCGCATATGGAAGTTCTCCAACCTTTTGATGTGTCTGCAGTCGTTATGTAGTGTCAGGAAGAGGTAGTACCTTTAGCATGGGGGTTCACCATGTCCTTTTTGGAGTAGCTTGTCTGCCACTGGTCCTTACCTGTCACCTAGCTCTCATCTGTGGCTCCTAGAAGCTGTCACATGCAACAGCGGCCAATCCCAGGCAACAGCTTTGGCAGGCCAGAGAGTAGCCAACGGGTTTGCAACTCCTGGTGAGTTAGGCTTGTGCCGTGTCAGCCCTACTGCATGCGAAGACTGATTCCTGGCGGAACAAGTGGAAGAGATCACCTATGATCACTTGTGAAAGCAGTGGCAGCAAGTGTTGTGGATCACCCTAGAGTATGGATGTGACACCTAAAGAAGTCCTGGTCATCCACTGCAGCCTGGCAGTCTCATGTCGTAACAGCTCCCCATGCAACTAGATCAAGACTTCCCAGGCCAAGAGAGTGGGTTGTCCCCATGCAATGATTTTCTCACTATAAAATCCTCACACACATGTCTGTTATGCAACACATTATTCATTACTCATCATCAACTCATCACTGATCTGTCTGCGCACACCCCTCAAGTCCTGCGGCGGTGGACACGTGGTGAAGGAACAGGTGGAGGTGACCACTGGCTGTTGTAGTCACAATCCTGTATGTAGGCGGTCCATGGACAAGTGGTCATTTTTTCCTGAATCTGAGGGCAACAAGAGAATCTGGCAGCACCCATAGGCGACTGCGAAGCCTCCTTAGGACAGCACTGCCCACCTTCACATAGGGAAGGGGGCTAGAAAAGGTGCCCCAAACAAATGCTCGCCCTTTTTTAGTCTGGTCAGCTTACTATGGTTGACAGACTCATCCTCATTGCAGTCAAACAATGCAAAAGAAAAATCACAAGAATTTCCATTTGGGAGTCTGGAATGTTCGAACACTACTGGATAGAGTATCAAGACCAGAAAGAAGAACAGCACCTGTCGTGAAAGAACTCCAATGATACCAAATAGGCATTGCTGCACTCAGTGAAACCCAGCTTGCTGATGAAGGTTCTCTAAGAGAAAAATGGGGTGGATACACCTTCTTCTGGAAAGGAAAATCTCACGTTGAAAACAGGATTCATGGTGTATGATTTGGGATCAGAACAGATCTGATTAAAAGCATATCAGTTCTCCCAGTTGGAATCAATGAATGCCTCATAAAACTGCGCATTCCCCTTAGTAAGTCAAGACACCTCATGGTCATCAGTGTGTATGCACCCACACTCACGAGCCCAGACAACGCCAAAGAGCAGTTCTATGAACATCTTGATCAGGTTATCAAGTCACCCCCTCCCCCGCCCCGAATAACAAACTCGTTATCCTTGGAGATTTCAATGCCAGAGTAGGAAGAGACTACAACAGCTGAGAAGGTGTTTGCGGCAGAAACAAAGTAGGCAAAGACAATGGCCTGCTCCTCCTCATGAGCAGAACATGGCCTCTGCATTACCAACACCTTGTTCAGGATGGCTGATAAATACAAGACTACCTGGATGAACCCGAGGTCAAAACAGTGACACATAATTGATTTCATCCTTGTATGCCAACATGACGTCAGGGACATCCGTGCGACTTGTGCCATGAGGAGTGGTGAATGCCGGACTGACCACAGGCTGGTCAGGGCCATACTGATGCTGCAAATACCACTGCTTCACAGAAACTGAACCGAGACTGTTAGGGTTTCCTACAACATTGCCAGACTGAAAGACCAGACCTGCCTTTCCCAGTTTCAACAGCTGCTTCACTAAAAGCTCCAAGACAGTCAGGTGACACCAGAAAATGGTCTTCTTTCAGGGACACTGTCACTGAGACTGCTAGGGATGTTCTTGGGACAAAGACCAGAACTCATGAAGACTGGTTTGACCAGACCAATGAGAAGATCAAGAAAGCCATCCAAACATGATAGATTTAGTACTCTGCAGTCCTATCTATGCACAATGCAAGACCAGTGGTTGTAGTACAAAGCGGCTGAAGTTCAATATTATGCTGATACTCAAAAATTCCAAGAAATTCTTCAGCTCATTGAAGACAGTCTTTGGTCCCTCTGCATCAGGCTGCTCTCCTTTGCTGTCTTCAGATGGCACAACCCAAATCAAGGACCAAGAAGATCTAGGCAAGTGCTGACAAGAACATTTCAACAACCTGCTTAATCGACTCTCATCGGTCAATGCAGATGCACAGAACCAGATCCCTCAGCAGACAATATGGGATGTGCTCGCCATTCTGCCAACTATTGCCAAAATCAAGAAAGCAATTCTTTGGACGAGCTCAAGCAGAGCATCAGAAAAGGATGGAATTCCTGCCAAGATCTACAAGGCAGCAGGCCCAAATGCCTTGGGGTCCTTTCATGATGTCCTGCGGAGTATCTGAGAGGAGAAGAAGATGCCAGATGACTTCTGTGATGCCCTGATTGTCTTCCTCTACAAGAACAAGGGTAGCAAAGCTGACTGTGGAAATTACAGAGGCATTTCGTTTCCCTTCATCACTTCGCCAGGGTCATCCTCAACTAACTCATTACAGTCTCTGAGGAAAACCTCCCAGAGACACAGTGCAGATTCAGGTCAGGCAGAAGTACTGTTGATATGATTTTTGCCATGAGACAACTTCAGGGGAAGTGCATCATACAAGATGTGCCTCTATACTCTGCTTTCATTGACCTGACCAAGGCTTTTGACATGGTCAACAGGGAACCACTTTGGACAGTCCTTGAGCACATCAGATGCCCACCGAAGTTCGTGACAAGGATTAGGCTCTTCCATGATGGCATTACTGGTCAGGTCCTCTCCAGTGATAACATGACGAATACTTTTGAGATCAGCACTGGTGTAAAGCAGGGCTGTGTCTTAGCCCCAGTCCTATTCAACGTCTTTTTTATCTGCATGCTGTTCCATGCTGTCCAGGATTTGGAGCAGGGAGTCTACATTCACTACCATTTGGATGGCTCCCTTTTCAACCTTTATCGTCTCACAGCCAAGACAAAGAGCCTCCAAGATCTCCTCCAGAAAATCCTCTTTGCTGATGACTGTGCACTAGTGGCCCATGCAGTGTCTGATCTGCAGCTGATGCTAGACGGCTTCTCTGATGCCTCCAAGCTCATCTGCCTTACAATCAGTCTCGGCAAGACTGAGCTGCTTCATCAGCCCACACCAAACACCTCAGCACTGATCATCGTCATCAATGACACACAGCTTGCCAATGTTGAGCATTTCAAATACCTGAGAAGTACCATCTCTCGTGACAGCTCCTTGGACAAAGAAATTGCTGCCCGAATCAGCAAAGCAAGTCAGGCATTAGGAAGACTTTGCAACAGAGTGCTCAGTCAACACAACATTCGGCTGACTACAAAGCTGAGAATGTACAATGCAGTGGTTTTGGCCTCCTTTCTATATGGTTGTGATTCTTGGACACTTTACTGCAGACAGATCAAGAAGCTGGAGAAGTTCCATATGCGGGCTCTTCGTTCCTTACTCAGAATTCACTTTCTAAGTAAGTAAATGCTAAGATGGGTAGGGAGGTAATTTAACACACTCATGTTTCAACACATGCTGTAATTGTGCAGCAATTTTTAATGTTTTTGTTTTAATATCCCCAAAATAAATAAAATATTTAGCTGTACTCTGTATTAAGCCTTCTTTTAAATTAAATGTTACGTACAGTGGAATTATACTCCATTTATTCTGATTTTACCTGGACACACACACATACACACACACACACATATATATATATATATATATATATATATATATATATGTCATGTTAATGTCTTGATTTGGTCACAACCTCAATTGATTTACCCAATTCTGAAACATTGTTTAGCAAGAAACTTTTAACATTAAATTTTACAAACAATTTTTGACACATTTGATCATTCACTGTACTTTCTCCACAACACATTTTTTTAGTTACATTTTTAACTTTCTTAAAATAAAAAGAGCATAGTATACTGAAAATGTCACTTATTTTCTATCTTCAGTGTTAGAATGAATAAATTGAAAGTGAAAACTGAAATATGACAGCTATCACTATACAAATACAAGTTATCTCTTTGAATAAAGTTAAAACTAAAAACTTCTAATGTTTATTTAACAGAAAAAAGCAGAACCTTTTGTGCCAAACCAATAATTGTTTATGAAAATGAATGATCTTTTTTGTTTAGTATTTTTTATTTATCATGTTTCTAAAAAACAGCTTCATTCAATTATCATCTGTTTCTTTATTTCTTATGCAGTTAGATTTGCAAATATCTGTAAGCAACCATATTTCTGTGCATAATGTGTATTTAGGTAAAAATCTTTTCTTAATGTCTATTTTGTTAATTACTATAGACAAGGAATATTATTTCTTTTATTTTATTTTAATGAACACATGTCTGGATTAAGAGTGTCTAATTAGTGTCTAAATGTTTTGTATTTAGCTCATTTGACCATAATTCTTAGCTATTATTGCTATTATCAATATCAGATAAATTAATATTTCAATAACCAAGCATCAGAATAATGATTTGGAGAAGTCAGTCAGGTTTTAAAACCTTTTCAGTTCTGACTATTTATTTTAAAATTGTACAATTTTATTAATTTGTATGTTGGCCATTAATATAAATTTATTAACTTGTATGTTAGCCATATAATTCCCACTGTATCCCATAGATTAACTTATCTGAAAATGTTATTCATGCTCATATTAATGAACAGTTTGATCAGTTATGCTATTTTTAATTGCATACACCAAATAATGGTTATTACAAACATATTAGATGCAAAAAGTTTGAAAAATACACCCACTGACTCCAAATCTGCATTCTTTGTATGTAAACAAGAAAAGTTATTTGAAAAATAAAAATAAAAAATTCTTTGTCTGTAGTTTTTCACAAAATGTATAAATATGTTTGTGTCTATATATATATATATATATATATATATATAAATGTTTACTTGAAGAAATGTTTGAGAATTATTATTATAAAATATTATAATCTTTACTTGTTTTTTTTATAATTTTGTAGGCCTGCCCATGTCATTATGTTCAACAATAAAGAAATTTATCCAAGAGTAAGTTTTTCTTTCTTTGATAGAATTTGCTTTATTCATTTAAATTCATCTTTTCTATAACATTGGCCAAGAGATAACAAATATTTTAAAATTTTAGAATTATCCTAATTTCTCCAGATATCAATCTGTCACTGTATAATAGATTTGAAATGTTGGTGTAGATTTGATTGAATAAGAGATTGAAAACAACTTTTTAATTATGAGTATTCTAGGTTATATATCGAGGGTGTTAATGTCACACTTGAACAATCCATTATAATGTCTATGTAACTGTCCAGAATTTGCAAGTGACAAAAGGAAGCCAGAGACAACAATTGTATTATTCTACTTTTGTTTCTTATTAGATGTTATACATTAAACTCATTTATTTTTATATTTTTCAGATTCCAGACCTGAGTCAGCCAATAAGAAAAGAAAGAAGAGATCTAAAATATTGGAGGTCTTGGTGGAAAGGTATCGTGTGCCGTGATGACTATCTAAAATTCCTCAGTTTGCAGGTATGTTGGTTTTTAAACTTTGTGTATGATATATCTTAAACACAAATTTTACTTCTTCAATTTTATAGAATTGAAAATACATTAACTAATTTACTACAAGTGAATTCTTGCATTCTGTGATTAGACTCTAATAAAAATAAGTTTCTTTAATTATCAATGAAATCAAGAAAGATAAGTCAACAAACTTGGTTTGTGTCTGATTTTCTGAGATGAGGACTTATCATTATTTACAGTCAGACTAATGTCCTCATCTTTGTTGTTGTTATCACAATGTTTCAACTGTTGGAAATGGCCTTCTGGTATCATTCAATCTGCAGCAGAGAAGGCAAATACAGCATTAGGTTTAAGGCGCCAACTTCTAGCCTCAGGATTATCTCATGTGACAATAGCCTAGAGTATTAAAACATTGGTTTGCCAATTTGTTAGCATTGTAACTGTGAGTTTAATGTCTGGGCCAAGTAATAGATATTTAGACTCTTTGAGTGCAGAATTCAAAGATGAGATAACCAAGGAAAGATATCCCTCGATGTGAACAAAGGGTTCAGTTTGGAATACTCCTGAAGGTTACCTGAACCAACAGACAACTGAAGAAGGCTGAAGAACATAAAAACCGAAACATTGTAATAAAAACAAGGATAAGGACATTGGTTCAACTGTAAATTAGGAGAATTGAGTTTTCTTTTCAAGTTGACCTGAAGGAATAGTGTTAGTTGCAATCAACTTTTGGTTCTTTCAGTTTGAAGTTATCAATGTTTTTGTTCTTGTGTTTTGTTTATTTAAAAGCAAAGAAATAAAAGCTGTACTCACACCTGCACATATGCATTCTACCTAAGTTCAAATTTTAGACAGTTTTTAAAAAATCAATTTTTTTCCTTTTTATCTTATTTTTTTTATTTCTTGTTTGTTAATGCAAAAAAATTGATGGCAAATGAAATTAACTTGACTTCAATTTTTTCCTTTGCAGGAGACTGATTATCTAGCAGTCATATTTCATCTTTTTGGTAATGAAGAAGAAGAAGAAGAAAAAGAAAGAAGAGGAGGAAATATATTAATCACAGAGCCAACAATAAAATCGCCACAGATAAAACATTTAGCACAAGAAGAAGATAAAAAGTTAGAAAGGTTTATTAATGCAACAAATTAAAAAAAATGATATCACTTTTGATATCTGTCTATATCTCTGAGATGAGGTATTATGATTACTTACATTATTTACATTATTCAGACTTATTCTCATCTTCATTGCCATATTCACAACATTTCAGCCATTGTGCACTTTGGCCTTCTTCAGGTGATTGAAATTTCAAACCGAACCCTTTATTTTGTCCACCGGGGTAGATTGTTCCACATGCCATGCCTTTTCAGAATGTCTGTTATTTCCCTTTAACTCAACTCTCCAAGTTCTTGAGGACACATGGCCCATTGGATAAAGATGTTAGTTAGATCCAGTGATGAGACCCAAAGAATTGTAAGTTAAATACCAGATCACAGCAGTGGTAAACCAAACTTGGAGAGTTGATTAAAAGGGAAATAACTGAGACACCTGGAAGAGGCATGGCATGTGGAGCTAGAACAATCTACCCCAGTGGACAAAATAAAGGGTTTGGTTCAAAGTTCCAATAACTTGAAGAAGGCCAGAGCGTACAAGGGTCAAAATGTTGTGAATGTGGCAACAAAGATGAGATAACAGTCTGAATAATGTAAATAATGTAAGTAATCACTTTTGATATATTTTGAATTTCCTGGTAAAATCAACTGGATTTGGATATTTTTATGCTCGGTTCTATAGAATTTTTTCTTTAGAAAATGTTTGTTTTAGATGATTATTTTTTAAAAAAGTTATTAAATATTACAAAAGAGGGAGGAAATCTGAGTTGCTCTGGCTTAGAATGCAAGTGTCTAATCACAGATTTTGATAGCTTAGAATCAGGTCATAGAATAAATCCTGAACTAGGAAATAATATAATAATTCATGTTAACAAAAACAGTTTTTATTATTTTCTGTACTTAAATAATTTTCCTGTATAGATTTCTTTTGAAAATCTTTAAACATATTAAAAAGTAATAAGCCTTTATTCATCAATCTGTTAATAATTCTAATAAATAACAGAAGGATAATTATCAATAAAAATATTCTTCATTTTACTATGCAACAGAATTTCAGAATAATAATTTAAATTGTTTGGCCCAGTTTCACCTTTTGTTTTTATCATATTTCATCTCCTATACTTGTCTATTTTTCATCAGGTCTCTTCCAGAAAAGTTAGACAGTCCAACATCAGAAGAGGTTTGTCTCTCTTTCCAACTTCTTCCTATTCAATCAATTCAAACTGTTTGTGATTTTCCAATTTATTTTTGCTTTGTTCATTAAACATTTCAATTCATTTTACATACTTAATTTTGGTATATTTTGTATTTCTTATTGCTTTCCTTCTTTGCTTAATATTCAGTTTCCCTCGTCTATGTATGTGTGCGTGAGACATTTTCAGTTTCTGGTGGCAAAGTTGAATGAACAATGCTATTAATATTTAAGTTTAACTGAGGAAGTGAGGATAGGAAGATTGTGTTGCACCAATATTACAAGTAGGGAGAGCCCCTACTCATATTGAAAATCCTAGCATATTTTTTTTTTACATGTAAGTCATGTTTTCCTTAATGAGGAAAAAAAGACATTTATTTTACATGGCAAATAATAATCTTTCGACATAATTTCCTTTCTTGCCAATGCACTTAATTCAGTGATTCTCCATAGGTTACACAGATCAAACATTATACAATGAAAACTTCAGATTAAAATTCAGCTAATAACTTTGTCAGGCTATTAACATATTGATCCACCCTCATTTCACTCTAACATAAGTAAATAAGTGAATACTTTTAGTAGATTTGGAGATATAAAATTTGTTTAAGATGCATTGTATTTTTTCCTGCGAGTTTTTAATTTCATAAATTATTTACATTAGCTAAATGAATAGGAACAGAATGAGATAAATATGCCATTCTGTTCTTATTGATTTGTAAATGATTTAAGTCTTTTCTTCATAAGAAAAGACTCTTACATGACAAATACTGATTACTGTATATACTCGTGGATAGGTTGTGCTTTTTTTATCAAAAATTTCTTAAAATATTAGGGGTGCGACCTATCTGCTCAACATGAATGTAAAACAACACTACCTTGTCATCATGATTTCTGAGAAATCTGAAATGATACCCATAAACACTAAAGCTGTGGTTTTTCTCCGTATAGAAACAATTTATCTATCAACTGACTCACTGCTTTAAACTTACCTCATGTTGCTAGATTCACATATCCATCACAATAAATAAATAATCTTCATTCATTGATCCATCAGTCACTGTTCGGTCGGGGCCCTTACACTAGACTGATATAGAAACCCTGAACATACATAAGTTAAGGGACCACAAGTAGATGTTTATTGACAAAGAAAAGATAGTCCCACGATTCATTCTGCAATATTTTGTCAAAAATACGTTGGAAAATATGACTTAAAGAAGGTAAATATATTCTTTATGAAATAATTTTCTTTAATGGTCATTTCATATAACATTAAAAGACGTTCTTAAGTGTTATTTACAAATAACAAAGCACATGAATCTAGTGCCCAAAACGTTTGCACTATTTTGCATTGCGCAGTGATATAGTTAATAGCCAAATTTATAGTTTATAATTTTAATTGTTGCTAACCCTAATCATGAGTAAAAGAAAGAATTAAGAAGCAGGTTTTAAATTTAAATAATATGTGGTAAATATAAAAATACCGGTACAACAGTTACTTCCTTTTGTTGACTATGATGATTGATGTATTTTATTTTTAACTGCACGCAAAAGTGTAACTGTATTATTAATTGTTGTGTCGTGTCACAATAGTAAAAATAAGAAAATCAAGTCGAAGTTGGTTTAAAGAACAAGTGTATTTAACATCACAGATACAAAGGTAGGAAACAGGTACTACTCAGCTAGGCAGTTGTAGTACTGTCGCTGCTTACACCGGGTAGGTATTACTGGCACTATATATAGTGAGAACCGGTGTAATTCCCTTGTGTTAGAGGCCGGTGCAACACCCCCCTTTGAAAATATCCCGTCTGGGAATTAATAACGTTTTTGTTTTGGGTTCACCCTAATCAACTCTGTTGATTTCCGTTTTCTTTCTGACCTCCTATTCTCAGGAGCTGTCTCTGGTATGGACACCTGAAAAGTATCGAACACTATGTCCATGATGTCCTCCTCGGGCGATCTGGTCACCTCGCTGTTCGAGTATCTTTTCCGGATTTGGTTAGTGTGACGTTTGTGCACAAAATCTGGTCCCTTAATCATATAGACCATGTTGCCTATTTGTTTCTCAATAGTGCCGGACTCCCAAAAGGTCCTATTATTTCTATGCATCTTGTAGAAAACTCTTTCGCCAACTTTATACCGTTTTTTTGTTATTGGTTTTTTGAGGTTTGGCCTATCCTGGTTTGGTAACAACTTGTGGAAAATTGATCTAACCTTGCGTCCGAACATGACCTCAGCAGGTGTATTCGACGTTTCGATGTTTGCATTCGGAGTGACCCTGTAAACTTGTAAGAACTGTTGGATTGACTTATCCGTCGGTGATCCACTAGCCTTTCTCAGGGCTCTCTTGAACGTATCCATGAATCTCTCCGCTTGCCCATTGCTTCTTGGATGGTATGGTGGAATGGTTATATGCTCGATTAGATAATCCTCACAGAGATGTTTAAATTCGGTAGACATGAATTGTGTTCCATTGTCTGTGACAATGCAGTCTACAACTCCAAACCTAGCGAATAGTTCATACAGGAAGTTAATAGCTGCCTCGGATGTGGGGTTCTTGCATTTCAGTACTTCCGGCCACTTAGACTGTCTATAACAATGAGATAGTAGAAACCATCTAACGGTCCAGCAAAATCCAAGTGAATTCTCGACCAAGGTCGGTCCAGTTTTGCCCACGATCCGAATTGAGTCAGAGGAGCTTTCATAGCTAATGCGCATCCTCTACACTCCCTGACTTTTTTTTCTATATCCTTATCCATGTTTGGCCAGAAAACAAAAGAGCGCATAAGGCTTTTCATTCTTGATATGCCTGGATGTCCTACATGGAATTCCTTGAGCATTCTTTTTCTGTAATGTCGTAGGAATTACGACTCTGTCGCTATATAACAGGACGTTATCACAAATTGAATAAATTTCCTCATCCAGTTGGTTACTGTTGATTTTTTCTTTTCGTGCTTATAATAAATTCGTCCACCTCTGCCTTACTCTTAATCTCATCAAAGCGTTACTGGAAGTTCTCTTATCGTGTCACATAAAGTATTTTTTACTTCAACTTCCACTTGAATGGCTGCTATTACCATATCCTCCAATGGTTTCTGTGCTTAGGTATTAACCTTGATAAGCCATCTGCATGACCAAGTTTTTTAGATGGTACATACTCCATTTGAAAATTATAATTCAGAAGAATGGTACCCCATCTTTGGAGTCTATTTGACGTATGTTGTGGTAGTCCCTTGTTCGATCCAAAAATCGTTAGTAAAGGTTTGTGATCTGTTTGTAACAGAAATTGTCTACCGTGCTAGAAACAATGAAATTTCTTTGCTGCGAATATAATGCTTAGCGCCTCTTTCTCAATTTGCGAGTAGTTCTTTTCGCTGGTAAAAGTGAGCGGGATGCATGGGCTATGGGTTTTATTTTCCATCATCCATTTTTGTAGTATGCGCTCCTATGCCATAGGCACTGGCATCGCTTGCAACTATAATATCACGCTTGGGATTATAATGTGCCAGAAACAAGTCAGAGTTAATATATCTTTAATTTCCTGAAATGCTTCTTAGCACTCTTGCGTCCAGACCCATTTTGATCCTTCCTTAACAATTCATTTAAGGGTGATCTTAGTTTATGCATATTTGGCATGAATACATTGTAATAATTCGCCAACCCTAAGAAACTTTGTAGAGACTCAATATTTTCTGGAGCAGGCATGTCTTTTATTGCACTCAATCTATCTGGATCCGGCCTTCTTCCATGTTCATCGATAATTTGCTAAGTATTTTATTTTTTCTATGAAAAAGGTACATTTTTCCTGTTTCAGTTTAAATCCATAATCCTGGATCCTTTTGAATACTTGGTTTACATGAGCTTTGTGTTGTTCTTTGCTAGCGCTGTTCATTAACACATCGTCCAGGTACCCTACTATAAGTCCAGCCCACTTAACATCATGTCCATTGTTTGCTGAAAAATCTTGGGGGGGCGACTTTGACCTCAAAAAAAGGAAGTCTGTTAAACTTGTATAATCCCTTATGGGTATTGATGCATAGCAGCTTTGAACACTTCTGATCGACTGGGATTTGTAAATACGTGTCACAGAGGTCGATTTTAGAAAAATATTTCCCTCCACTCAGTTTCGTGAATATTTCTTCAGGGCTTGGAAGGGGATAATGGTGATCCTTTAATGCATTGTTTAAACCTGTTGAGAAATCGGCACAAACCCTAATCTCCTTGCTCTTCTTTTTGATGTAAACTGTTGATCAATTTTTTCGAGGACACTCATGTTTTCGAGTCTTTCTAATTCACCGTCTATTTGTTCTATAGCGGCGTATGGAACCTTTCTTTTCTTTTGAACCCTGGCTGTTCATTTTCTTTGACTTCAAATTTTGCTACCGCTTTTGTACACCTTCCAAGACTGCCTGTAAATACGTCTGGAAAATTCTCTTTTAACTCCCTCTTAAGTTTTTCTGCCTCCACATTCGAATCCTCAACTTTTTGACAAAAAGAGCTTAAAGGCAGATCTCATAGTCTAAATTTTTCAAACAGATCTGTTCCAAAGAGGTTATTTGATTTTCGCATGACAAAAATTTTCGCTTTTTCAGTCTTATTCTGAAAAGAAATATTCGTCAATAATTCTCCTTCGAAGGTGATTTTTTCACCACTGACACTTCTCGCCGTTTTATGCGATTTAATCATAGTGGGTCTCCCAAGCTTCTTCCACGTCTGTATATTAATGATGGAAATATCAGACCCACTATCAAGCTGTAGTCTTACTTTCTTTTTAAACATTTTGACCTGTACAAATTTCCGGATATTTCGTTCCTCAGGTTCAATTTTTGTTAGTTTAATGGATGTCTTCTTTCTACCAGATTTTTTCCTACAATGTGATGCCTTATGCCCCTTCTGGTAGCAGTTGTCACATTGTTTGAATTTGTAGGGACACTCATTGTACCAATGTTTATCTCCACACCTCCCACACGGTCCAGGTGGATCTTTTC